GCTTAGCTTAGTTTCCTCGTCAAATACATACCCTACATTCTCACGATTCCCTATCGTCAGTGTAGCCGTTCGTTACAGCGGCCCTAAATATCTCAAAAGTCAAGAAATCCTCAGAATATCAATTAGCGCTAGTCTATTATAGATATTTTCTGAATTTTGATCCCGAATACCTACGTGGTAGAATGGCATGCCAATATTTGCTCATCAAAATGTATAATACTGAAGATCCATATTACTGATTAAAAGAATAAAATTCGAAAATTAGAACGTAGTGTTGATTACTTGTGGCTAGCCTGGCCTAGAAAGCTTGATATCTACAGTATAAAGTTATAACAGATTTATTCTAATCCGGTTAAATTCCTTACATGGAGCCCTATTCTTTCTTGTTAAAGCAACCTGTAGACATTGCTGGCATGATAGTCGATACATAGTACATCTGTCAGTAGACGTCATACCAAAAATTCGCACGGAAATCACTGAATGATATTATAGCCTACGCATGATAGTATAGAGGAATCGTAGATCTTAGAAAATCTAAATTGGCTCTTGGGATCCTTGCTGATCTTCAGAACCTCGAACGCCCTTAACAGAACTCACTGACTGTTTTGTAAACTAAACACCGGAAATAGAAAGATAATGTATCGAGACTATTTAAACTCGTAAAGGGCGCCCCTATCTAGCAGTCTCGGTCAGTCCCTCTCAAGTGAAAATTCCCCAATTACTTTTAATTTCTTCATTAATGGCCCGTCGAAAGAGAAATCTTTTGGAGTACGTTAGAAGATGACTTGTGGTTCGATATATTTTACTTGGTCGTCGCTTCTGGTACCAGTTCCAGGCCTTTGTTTTGGACAAGCCTTTGATGTTTGTTGCGCAAGGTAAGTGTAATCAGAGTAGACGCGGTAAATCTTCATTTTGATGGTTTTGTTCATTCTCACAGAATTTATAGACGGTGCGGGAGAATGATATGCCCGGTCACACGGCACGCTGAAAGGGTATGAATACTACTACTACTACTACTACTACTACTACTACTACTACTACTACTACTACTACTACTACTACATACGGCGTCTTCGTAGCTGGACTGAAGCACCTAGCCCATGCGAAGGAAGACTACGACCTTAGGGTCGAAGTTGAAATGTACTGCGTTTAAGTGGTAAAAATAGTGAATAACGTCTCGTTTCATGAATCCATTTGAAATGCAAATTGCGTTGGAGCTACCAATGATGGTTTTCGTGTGCATGGTATAGCCCCAGTCGCATTAAAACACGCTACAAAATCCAATAAAAAATTCCAATAACAAGTCACCGGCTTCCCAGGGTAAGTGGCTATCCTGCGCTAGTTCGGTGATTGAAACTGATGAATAATAGTAGCAGCAGCGCCTTCAAAAGTGATACCCCCTAAAATCAAAAAAAGAGGCATATCAACGCTAAATGTCTTGCCAATCCAGTTACGCACCTCAATGGCAGACAGGGAGTCGAGACCATACGAATGCATGGGCCGATGCAAATCCAGTTGACCCTCTGCCACGCCCAACAGTGCCGTGATACGGGCAGCGAGTGCTTCACTGATGAGCTCAGTGCTCTCATTGACTGACGTGGCGGCCGCCAATTTAGCAACAACATCCTTGGCTTGCTTGCCAGGTTTTGTACCGTGCGCATTGTCCACATCCCCAGCCTCGCCAGCCGGCAATGGAATATAATGCATGTGCTGCCAGAACGGCTGGCTCAACACAAACGAGACTTCTTCAAGGTGGCCCCAGTGAGATGGTGGACGAAGGCCGACAATGGGATGGCAGGTGCTTGGGTGCGTGGCCAATTTGCTGGATGGATCACAGAAGATTTCGAGCAGAGCAACAATATCGCGGATATACGTAGGCGTGTATTTAGCCGTTTCGTGAATTTGTCGTCGTCCGGTTGCGTACTCGGCATTGGCAACGAGGTAGCCTGCGTCAGGTACAGCGCCGAGGTTGAACGAGATGGCTCGCTGGCCTTGGGAGACTCGATAGCGCGCCAGAGCATCTTGATAAGTGTTTCCGGCATTGTATGGTGCTAGAGAGCCGGTGCCCAAAGTGCCCATGACGGACGACAGCATGATGAAGAAGTCCATGTCTGATGGAAGCACGGCATGTAGGTTCCAGGATCCTTGTAGCTTTGGCTGCAAGGTACCTTTCCAACTAGAGAGTGATAGTTCGGAGAATATGCCCTCCTAATTACCTTGTTAGTCATTCCCCATAGCGTACAGTTGTTCATTGACTTGATCTTACCTCCATGACCATGGCGGCTTGAATACATCCCTTGACTGGTGGCATGGTTGCTGAATACTTGTCGAGTAGCGCTCGCAATGCACTGGGATTCGTGACGTCACAGGCGGGCATCTCGCATTGGACACCGCGACCTTGGAATTCCAATGCCAAAAACTGCGCCTCGTTTGTCTTGGGACCGGATCTTGATAAAAGAACAAGATATTTAGCGCCATTATCAGCCAGCCATCTTGCTATGGATCGGCCGACGCCTCCAAGACCTCCAGAGATGATGTACGTCGCATTTGAGTCAATATAGTCCATCTTCTTGCGCATAACGCGAACCTGAAAGAGCTATTAATATATGATGTATATTCCAACATGCAAGGTATGCGTGAAATGAGTGTATACTCACGTTGACCGTATCCGATTCGCCCAGTTGCACTACAGCAGCATCTGAACTGGTAGACTGCTTCAAAAACGCCATTACTTTGTCCAGTTGCGAGATTGGAAACATAGGGACCTGGCCTCGTGCATCTAGAAGCGACTGCAAGATGGGTGTAGAAACGGCATATTCCAGAGACTCCTGCGACACGTGAGTCTCGTCGCTAGCCACGAAAGAGACAGGGAGAGAAGAAGAGCCAAAGTGGAATGCAGATTGGGAAGCGTCATTGGAAACGAGCACCACTTGCCCATTCTTTCGCACCATGCCTCTGAAAGTCTGCTCTCCCAATCCCTTGGCGACTGAGGTGGTGGCGAATACAATATCAAACTTGGGCTGAAGCTCTGACCATGTCGAAGAAAAGGCGCTTCCCACAGCAGACGTCGGTATGATGTGTTGTCCTGGGATATTGAATCTTTCAGAAGCCCGCTGACAATCTTCACTGCTGTCTGCTGTCAACCATATTTCCGCAACACCCTCATTTAAAAGCAAGCCTATTGCGGCTTTTCCCAGAATGCTGCAACCATCCATGACCAAAACACAATCGCGGTTTCGAATCCGACCTATATCCAACAGAGCATGATGAGCTGTCAAGAGAGGAGGAATAGCCCAGCACGCGTCTTCAATAGATAAATCATCTGGTAGCTTAACAGCGGACGATGGTTGAACAGCAGCAACGGAGCGGAAACAGTTCTTGTGTACAGCAAAGACCCTATCCCCTTGCGCAAAACAGGACCCAGATAGCGTGTCTGTTACGATTCCGCTGCAGAAGTTGCTAAGCTGAGTGCCTTTTGGAGCAAACCCTCGGGCGGCTAACTGGTCTTGATATTGAAGCGAGATAGCTCTGACGTTAATTGACAGAGCATTGTCAACAACTGGAGCCGGTATCTCGACCAGGTACGGAATGCCATTATTATCTTCAGGGCAAGCCGCTGATAACTCAAAAGTGGCATCGATAACATTGGTAGAGGTCGTTTGCCAGGGCAAGATGTTGGATTCCATATTGGATTTCAGGAATCTCGCCTCAACAAGACGGCGAGTATGTAAGCAGCCATCTATCTCAATGTACTCTTGTTCGTATTTCTGAGATGGCTTTCGAGACAACATCTCCCGTGCAATCTGCTTGAGATGATGTATGTGGCCAGCGCTGCCGTCGCGATTTATATCGAGGGCAATAGAGACGAGATGCAGACTATAGTTTTCGGCTCGCAACGTTCTTGAGAGACCATCAATCAGCCCATATTCTGGTGCTGCTGCATCTCCTCCTCCTACCGAGACCCATAGAATGCCAGGCCACGTCTGAGCAAGGAGTTTTAAAACCGCCCAATCTTGTTCGGTCATTGAGCTGAGGAATGATGCACCATAGTCAACCAAAGCAATGCAAAGACTGTTTGAGCTGACGGTGAGACCCGTCGATGCTGCAAGCATGTTCGCGTCCACGATTTCAAGGGTTTCAGTAAACATGTCTTGTAAAGATATAACAAGAGAGGCGGCAAGAGATTGCTGTTGAGGGAAATCGTTCAGCTTGACAATGGTACCGCTATGATACGTTGGCGGTGCAAGAGTTCGTGGGACGGACGACGGCACGTCCACAGCAGTAGAAATAACACAACCAAGCTGATGAGCTGGGCCGTCAAAATCCTTGAATACCATGTCGACGCCTGAAAAACCACAGTTTTGCAGAATCCTGCCCCAGTCTTCCGCGCTCCACAGCGGTGACAGCGGACGATCAGCCTCTGGTCCAACCCACCATCCAGGGAAAAGACCAAAAATAAAGCCAAGCGCCCAACCATCAGGCTGGAGAAACTCTGTCAGAATCAACTTGCCACCAGTCTTCATTGACTTTCTAACGTTACGGAACGTATTTTCCAGATCGGCGGTAATGTGAAGCACGGCATCTGCCACGACAACATCATACGTCCCGTCAGATACTCCCTGCTCGGAAAAGCCCTTCTCGATGTCAAGGGTCTGGAACGCCATTTGAGATTGGTGATCGGAGAACTCGTCCCGTGCCTTTTCCAAAAATGTCGACGACACGTCTGTGAAGCAGTACTGGTCGCACCGAAGGGACCCAGGTGAGTTAGATGATTCTGTTACGCCAGGAGGGCCATTCATAGACAGTGCTTTGATCAGATGGCGAGTTGCAGCTGCAGTGCCTCCACCCACTTCCAAGATTTTCATGCCGCCGTTTTGGTGGGCGAGCAGATCGACAAAGGTTGTTGCTTGCTTCATGCATCTGTAGGTCATCAACTCGTCGTAGTACTCTCTGAGAAGCCCGGTCTGCATGAGAAGGTCTAGAGGCGTTACACTGCCCCTGAAGAACTCAACAAGATGCAAAGCCACTTCGGCGTAGAGACGTCCCACTCTGTTCGCAGACTTGACTCGATTACGAACCGTGCCAATGCTCTCAGTGAGCGCAGGCGATGCGCCGAGGCGACCCTCTATAATATGGTAGTTTGCCCATTGCCAGTAGCGTCGCTTCCAATCACCCTTGCCAGAGTCTGCCGTAATGACGCTAGGATCAACAGATGCTAGAAGCGCATGTACAGAGTGGTTGATAAGCAAGGCCACATCATCGTAAAACGACGTCAGATCTCCATGTTCTGGGTGAATCTTGTGCAGATACTCGGAAAGCTGGCAGTTGTCAAGCTTGTCTATAGCCAGCTTTTGCTCAACATTCATACAGAACTGCTTCGGGTCTGCGACAAAAGCGAGCGAAGAAGGTGTTGAGGTAATGTTGGCCAGTTCAAAGTCTTGAAACCATACTCGTAGATTATTGACATTGTCAGCAGACACCGAGCCTCCCGCAACGATAAATCCACGGCCAGTCACTGATGTAACTTTTGACAGGCAAGTTAGACGGTTGGCCTCCGGAGAGCTCAGCCCTGATGCAGACAACCAGAGACAACCAATGCGCGACGGCACGCTGGTTGCCATGGATGAACGACCGCCCGACGTCAGAGCTGTGAAGGCAAGATGCAAGATGGCGTCAAGAGATGCGGGATGAACAACGTGCTCTTGATTAGGCGTATTGTAAAGACTAGTTGTGGCCGTAGCATGCTTCAGAGTAGAGTGAATACGCTGTTCATCGCATCGGGCGAAGATGGGACCGTACTCATATCCGGTGTCTTTGAGATATTCGTACATTTGCTTGGCTGAAATCTTCTGGTTGCATGCGTTGGCGTGGTCGAGAATGGTCTTGGCCATGTTGCTCTGCTGTCGCGCTTCATGATCGGATAGCCATCCCTCTTCCTTGCCTCGATGGTGGATGGTGATGTGTCCTTGACAGTTTTCAGACCAATCGTCGTTGCCAAAAGTGCGAATAATAAATGAAAATTTGGATGCTGAAGAACGGTCTTTTGTTGGCTCCTCGCGAAGAGAGACTTGAGCTTCTGGTCCATCGTTGAAGGCCGTAAAGTTGATGGGAGTCTTGAAATGAACATCTTCAAAGGTGAATCCATTTACGGCATACCCTTCTTCCTCACACAGTTCCTTTCCTGCTTCTATGGCCATGACAAGCATTCCTGTTGCAGGATACAACGTCATGCCATTAATAATATGATGTTCAACCCAGGGCATCTCCGACAAGTCCATCTTCCAGTTCCAACGAGCATCCGAGCGATTCCAATCAGTTGATCTGGTTCCATGGAAATCAGATGGTCGCTGAGATCTCAGCTTGTAGCTGCGACTTAGGCGGCTATCGTGCCAGTATCGCTGTGAATGGTCAAAAGGATACTCTGGAAGAGTTGTCAACATGTTTCGATTCATCACGCTGCCTGAAGGCTCGTTGATGGCTCTGAACTGGAGGTTCACTCCTACGCAGTGCAACTGGCCAAGGGTGCTCAGAAGTGTGTCCACGGCGCTCTTTTTTCTGAAAAGTACGGCATTGTATCCAAGCTGTCCGCGAGAGCCGGTCTCCAGGATGTCCAGTAGCGAAGACTTCAAGGTAGCATGGGGACCGATTTCGAGAAGTTGGTCTACTGCTGGGACCAACAGATGACTTTGGTCCAGCTTCTTCGTCACATCTTTGGCGCCTTGGCGGCACATGACCGACACAGCTTGAGAGAACTGCACTGGTGATGCCATGTTGGATGCCCAGTATGACGCTTCTGCAACGGAAGCGTCGCTAATGACTTTGCCAGTTACGCTGGATACCATTGGAATGTCAGATGAGAAGGACACCATGTCGTTGGCATCCGCATAGGCGTTGATCATGGACACGTAATCAACTGCAATGCTATCCATATGTCTCGAATGATAGGCAACCCTGACGCGAAGCTTGCGGGCGAAGATCTTCTGTTCCTCCAGAACACCTTGAAGATAGTCAATGGCAGCCTCATTTCCGGAAAGAGTAATGCTCTGGGGGCTGTTTATACAAGCAATGGAGACGCTTGAAACGATATGGCCATGAGCAGAGAGTAGCTCTTGTCCAGAAGCCTCAGATAATCCCACAGCCATCATGGCACCAGAGACGCGCTCCCCGGAATCGGCCAAATGTCCATCACGATCCAGTTTGGCCGAACAAACCCCTCTAAAGTACGCCAACCTCCAGGCTAACTTCAGTGGAATGTGGCCGCTGGCGTATGCTGCAGCAATCTCACCAGATGAGTGTCCAACAACAGCAGCGGGCCTGACTCCAAATCGCCGAAGCAAGTTGACCAAAGCAACTTGCAGAATAGTGCACAGCGACTGGCTAAGCTCTGGATTGTCAATGTGGTTGGAAGAGTCTGGGTACAGTATGTGGTTAATAACAGACCAGACGCATCCTAGGCTTCGCAGATATGCGCCAGCCTGCCCCAACTCTGTTCTGAAACTCTCGTAGCAAGCCAACTCTCGTCCCATGCCCTGCCACTGCGCTCCTTGTCCGCTGAAGACAAAGCCGATTCGTGGTGGCGAGTTGGCGTGCGCGGAAACTGGTGTTGACATGAGCGAAGAGATGTTTTCGAAATCTTCAATCGTGTTCATCAAAGCAAATGATCTCCATTGCAGATGACTTCGATGTGTGTCTAATGTGTAGGCCACGTTGGCCATCAGATTTGTAATATCATCTGTAGCAGCGACGGACTCTTTACCACCCTGCTGTCGTAGTTGCTGATATTTCTGTAACAGTTGCTTGATAACAGAGTGTCTGGTACTGTACTGCTTAATAATTCTGCCAATACAGTCTTTGTCTGATGCAGACCACACAAAGAGTCTTTGTACGTCTTCTTGTCGTGGCGGCGTCAGTGCAGGACTCAATGGCATCGTACCGGACTGTTCCCGTAGCTGAGGTGGACGCTTCGCCGTATTATGTTTGCCGTTGAGGCCACGAATCCGCAGATAATTATAGGCATCGTCAATGACGACGTGCGCATTGGCACCTCCGTATCCAAATGAATTGACAGAGGCTCTGCGGAGACCATTTGCTGGCCAAGGACGTGCCTTTTGTGGAAACTGAGAGAAAAGAACATACATGAGCCACTAGTTCTTTTGCAAACATGAAAATTTTCAGAACAAGACTTACAGAAATATTAAGATAGTCAACGTCAATCTTGGGATTGACTTTTTGAAAGTTGGCATTGGGAGGGATAATTCCCTTTTCCAAGACGAGAACAGCCTTGATCAAGCCAGCCAGTCCACTGGCGCCTTCCAAATGGCCAACATTCGACTTGATGGCACCGCTAGAAATTGTGTCAGTCAATGATGTTACAGAGGGTGTAGTGATGAGCAGAGGTGCTTACACATAAATAGGGTCGTCGTTTGAGCGATGCTGCATGAAAGCCATGCCAATTGCTTGAGCCTCGCGAGGGTCTCCAGCAGGCGTTCCAGTTCCATGAGCCTCAAAGAATCTTGTGTGCTCCATTGAAAGACAAGCCTGCTCGTATGTTCTCTTGATGAGCTCTTGTTGAGCCTTGCGGTTTGGTTGTGTAATGCCAGGAGTGCGACCGTCTTCATTGCAAGCTGTCGCGCGAATGACAGCGCGGATAGTGTTACCGTCTCTAACGGCATCTGATACTCGTTTGAGAACGGTAACAGCGAGACCCTCGCCTCTAGCATATCCATTGGCCCTTTCATCAAAGGAATAGCAGCAGCTGTCTGCTGACAAAAACTTGACATTGGACATCCAAACGTAGGGCTCAGGCGCACTCGCCATGTTGGAGCCAGCAACCAATGCCTGCGGACGGTTAGTCATGATGTCATGGAACCGCTGAAACATGAAGTCATGGACGCACCATGGAGCAATTGCCGTTTCTCAGTGCGGCGCAGGCTGTGTCCAAGGCCATGGCGGAACTAGAACATGCAGAATCGACGGCCATGCTGGGCCCGCGAAAGTTGAAGAACCAGCTGATTCTGTTGGCAAGCATGCTAAGACCGAATCCTAGTGCTGCGTAGGGGGGAGGAACCTCGGCGCTGCGAACAAGTTGCAACATGTAGTCCATTCCAAATGAGCCGCAGTAAACGGCTGTCGGAGAGCCGTTGACATGTTCCATCGGGATACCGGCTGTGAATGTATACGTAAGCGGACTCAACATTGCACTGGTGTGATGTGAATCAAGCTGAGGCTTTCTTACCATTTTCCAACGCGTGGTAGGAGGCTTCTAGTAACAGTCTTTGCATGGGATCCATGGACGCTGCCTCAGTAGGCGCAATGGAGAAGAAGCCGGCATCGAATTCGGCAAGATCGCCTTTGATAAAGTGACCGCCTTTTAGGGGCATCTGCAACGGTTACTGACTGTTCAAATGCGCATTGTTAGGATTGGAGTCGGAGTAAAAATTTACAGTGTTTGGCCGTGATCGTTGATCGTAGAAACCATCGACATTGACACGATCAGCTGGAAACTCGGTCATTGCACAGCGTCGTTGCAACATCATGTCCCATAGGGCTTCTGGAGTAGTTGCATCTTGTGGAAACTTCAACGAGAAGCCACAAACAGCAATGTCATTGCTGTTGATGCCGTCCAGCACCGACAAGGTAGTAGTAGGGCTCTCCATTTTGGCGAACGATTATAAAAGATGACTAGTGTGAAGGTTGTAATAATGTACAAGGAGGAAGCGTACGGAGAAGAAAGAAAGTAGCAATGGAAATGTGAATCGCCTCAGTTGGCGATAACCCGAGGTTATACCCCAAGTCTGTAGCCCGTGGGCAGGGAACAAGTAATATACGCAAGGTGCCAAACGAAAGCGGCGGATAGTGGCTGCATATGCTATAGTAGATGGTTGGCAACAAGGTGAAATGGAAGAGGCGTGGAGAATGACAAAGGTAATACAAATAGTGCATAATTTTATTAACATAACATGTGTGCAAGTAGCTAAATATGTTGGGCGAATCAATACGTAGTTGGCTGTCAGCCCAAGCCTTGCCTGTCAGGACGAGGCGCGGCCAATCGCACGTCGCATCATATGGACGGCCTCGGTCAGCTTGGACTGTCGAGGAAACCCATGACCACCTTCATGAACGGACACAAAGGCTTGCGACGGATCGCATAGGCTAGCCATGTTAGCGCCACCGGTCGGGGCAGTTAAATCATTCTGGCCCCAGATATGCGCGGTGGGCAGTTTGAGACACCCCGGGGTGGGAGCAAGGCTAAGCTGGGCGAGTTCGGCGTCGCTGGAGGCTGTGGAGAAGAAGACGGCAAAGCGGAATGGCAGCGGTTTCCCTTGTTGCCAATGCTGTAAGAGGTACAGGGCAGCCAGAACGGCCCCCGCGGAGAATGCCGCCACACCGTCAAAGGGTCCCTGATCGTCGACGTAGCTGCTTAACTGGTCCAGGGCCACGAGGAGCGTGGCGGGGTCATCTGGGTTGTAGAATGCGTAGAAAACTTGATCTGCAGGCGTTGTCAGGCTTCCTATTCCTGTATACCGGTTAGCAAAGCAGTTGATATCTCTTCGTCATTGCGAACCGTACCTTCAGCCATCGGGGCCTGCAGAGTGCCTTCGACAAACTCGAATTCATGGTCGTCTTCCAGCTCGTGGATGAGCGGGGCTATGGTGGGTGTTAGTTTAGCGTACTGGACCTACTAAAAAGAAAAGGGGGGTGAGAGTCAACTTTACCAGTCTGCAGCTTCATGATCTGCGATGCAACGTAGTGTTAGGCCAGACCTGTTTCTGCTTATTCGTAAAGGGCTGGGCCTGCGAACGCAAGCTCGCCCGCCCAAAACCAGAGGGACAAAAAAAAGAACTTACAGCACTGTTGGTGCCATTACCATGAAGACAAATGATCCGCATTGCGCAGGTTTCGGTGATGCAAGTGTACGTAAGTTAGTGTTGAGTATTGGGAGACCGGCGCCACGCTTTAATGCCAACCATTTGAAAAGGCAACCACTGCTCAACAAGGTAGTGCATTTTAGAATACGACCATATGCAACATGTACTCCGGATGACCTCGGTGGTTTTATTAGTACATTCCACTCTGCGCGCTAAGTTGCCTTAGGCTGATATACTTGCTTAATAATCTAGTAGAAAGCTCTCCAGGCCAATAAGAAGTACTTAAAAATCAATATTATTTTCCTAGATAAGCGAGCAGGGATATCGAATACTAGCGTTTCAGGTGGAACGTACTAACAAAATCACCGCGGTGAACCGTAGTATTGTTTATACAGCCCCTGGCCTGCATATTGAGAATTTTCTGAATTGCAGGTGTGTATGAGCCATTTCTCAATATGCAGGCCAGAGGCTGCAATAAATGGCTATCATGGGCGGATCAATAAGGCTGGCTAGCGGCGCGATTGGCCCCGTCCGGCCCTGTCTTTGCTGATCCTACTTGGGGCCGGACCGTAAGCCTGCAGATAAGCACAGCGTTTCAAGGTCTCACGCCCCCTCCTTGTCATCAAAAAGTTGCTGTGCTTGTTCACCAGGAATGCAGAGATCCAACTAGCCTCCGCTCAATCCTACCCTACGAAACTTGGTAGCGTCTCCAAGGCCTTTTTTGAGGGGAAAAACCATGACCACCTGCCCGCCGCTGGCGGGTTGTCTGTCTCTCATCCCATCCTATCCAAATGAGGCCAAATCTCACATCAAACCATTGCCTAAAGGTTGAAGGTTGAGGGTGGCAGATACGCCAAATTTGACTCACTATTAAGCGAATATTGATCGCCTGCCGTACCTTGTTACGATTTCTCCCCGCATTGTCTACGCATGTCTCAACAACCCGCTCCCTTGCCGCCTTCTGCGGTGCACGATGACACTTCCGGAGGCATCAAGGGTTTCTTCATTGTCGTCACTATCGTTACTATCGTCTCTATTTCGCTTCGTTTCTGGTCGCGATGCATCCGCAGCAATGCAGGACGCGGTGCTGGTAGACATACTCAGCATCTGTGGTGGGATGATTGGGCCGCTTTAGCAGCCGTGGTAAGTGACTTTGTGGTTGATCTTTCAAAAAAAATAAAGGGGTGAGAAGAGGAAGAAGAGGCAGAAAATGAAGACTACGAGCTATGCAAAATGCTAACTTCATTTCCATGGCAGCCCTTTATTCTCGGCCTCTGCGGACTGGCATTTGCCATGGGCTTCTTTGGCCTCGGCCACCACACTCAGTTTGTCGAGCCAAAGGATCTATCCATCTTCCTTAGATTATTGTATGCAATATACTTCGTCTACGATATCGGCCTCTTCTTCACCAAGCTCTCGGCCTTGCTATTTCTCTCTCGCATCTTTCCCTGGCACGCAAACTCCAAATGGTTCAACTACACCATTGTAGCTACCCACTGCCTCAACTGCGCATGGTTGGCCGGTATCATCTTTGGCACCGTATTTATGTGCAATCCCGTCGAGAAGGGCTGGAATCCCACGTTACCTGGACACTGCGGCACCACCAGCGCCCTTTGGCTTGGAAGCGCAATTCCCAGCGTCATCATTGACCTCATCATCTTGCTGCTGCCCCTGCCGAAGATCTGGACCCTGCAAATGACCACGACGCGCAAGATGGCCATCATCGGAGTCTTTGTCATTGGTTACAGGTAAAGTGTTGGACCGCGGCAATGATTATCGCGTCATGCCACTAACCAAGAACAAACAGTGTCATTGTCGTTTCCATTGGCCGACTCATTACAGTTCTGCTGACTGGTAGTACCTTGGACTCGGATATTACCTGTACGTCATGAGTCTCCAATACCTGATACCTTGTCCTGTAACTAATATGTTCGTTCTTTATAGACTCGGTTGTTCATCTGGCCTACTGGGTTGGTGCCGAGGCGCCCATCACCATGCTGTGTATTTGCTTGCCGCCCATGACTGCGCTGGGCCGGTACCTAGCCAACAACTACTTTTCCAAGATGTCCAGCAGAGTTCACTCTCTGTTTAGCACCATCAAGGGCAGCAAAGGCACTGCCGCATCACGGAGTTACTCTGCACCGGATTCGCAATCTCAAAGTATTGCGATGCACTCGAGCACCATGAAAAAGAGCGTTGACAATGACGGCCGCAGCCTGGAGTCACAGGAGAGCTCTGCGCAGTTATTTCCCCACAAAGACGAGCATTATTATGCTGGCGCTAGAGCCGATGTCTCTTACTTTCACTCGGGTATTCATGGTACAACACCGCCTCCCGACTCTGGCGATGCTGCCATTCGTGTAGACAGCGTTGTGACTGTCACGCAACGTTTGAGAAAATAGTTTGACTTGGGAGACTCTAGTCGTTGTCCATTTCGAAATGTATAATGTTTTCCTTTCTTTCTTATTTCTTTCTTTGGTTTGACGGTAATCGCATTGATACCTTGATGGCTCAGGAGTTTAGGCATATTTTTGTCAAAATCTTGTTTTACCACTGCAGCCAAGAATGCCTGCCTTGCATTGTGTGCTAATTTACATTGGAATTTTCTCATGGATTTTGCATCTAACGGGTGTTTATCAAATGAAGAATATCAATGTATACTCGATACTATCTTCATGTTCTGTTATCATTGCAAATAAAGTACCATTATGCGTCCTTGTTGATCCATCGCTGGCTGTCGCCATTGATCTGATCCAGCAGCGAAACCCATCTGTAACCAGCAACAGTGTGTGCAATGCCAACAAGCTCAGACTTTCCCATGACCGACACGGCTTCTTTCCATGTGGCGTCGTCGAGTGGCGTCTTGAGGTCGGCTAGGATGCGACCGAGGCGATACGCCATTGTCTCTTCGGCGGACAGATCCGCGGGGACTTTGCCGGCCAAGGCGTCCTCAAATTGCTCAGGAGAAAGGCCGCATTTCGAGCCAACCTTGCGATGGCAGTAGGTGACATAGGGCACGTCCAGCACAGAGGAGAGGCCAAGGATGGCCAGCTCTCTATTGCGAGGCTTGACGGTGCCGGGCGCATACAGTGTCTTGGCCATTTCGAAGAATTGGCCGACAAACGCCGGGCTGTAGCTGCATTGACCGGTTAGCTTCAGTGGATTTTAGTTCAAGGAATGAGTGTTAGTTGGCCCAGCGCCAGCCTAGCCAACTTGGCAAATAGAGCTTAGCGAGCTCTCGTGCTGCAATGACACAGGCTGATGGGCGTTTCTATCAGTGGAAAGCAGGCTGCCATACCTCAGCGATGCATAGCATCCAAGCAGAGAGCTGCCGTCTTCTTCAACCCACTGAAAAGGGATGTCATCTTGGTGCATCACTGCCAACGCATCGTGGATGGTTTGTTTGGAAGCAGCGTGCTCATTCTCGTCGTAATGAAAGCGATGGGTCATGGTGAATGCACAGTGATCCTGCCTCTTTGTTTGATGATGGATAAAAGTCAACTGTACCAAGAAAAAAGACGGATGTCCATACACTGCCAAGTCTCACACCTGTCTGGTTTCGCAAAGCCTACCTCGGCTGACTGACTGGCTGGCTGCTGTTCTGTTTCTGTGGAGACATATATACCGGTAGCGGTTAACTCGGGGACGAGAATAAATGAGAAGGATTATTCTTTGGAACGATATACCTAGCCGAGGCTCTCAGAGGCTCAGGGGTGATCTCGGGGGCGGACCCTGATCCCTGACGGGGCCCAATTGGCGGCATCTTCCGCCGATCTTATAGGCCCTCTCCGGGCGCTCAGGTCCCACTCTGCAGCACATTATCCCTGCCTCGAGCACACCAACCTATTTATGAACCACCTATCATCTTCCTCCAAAGCGGCCAGTTGTTGGGAGGTAGCATCGGTCGAGCAGAGTGTGAGTCAATTGTCGAGAGTGCAAAATTAGCCGTGGAGAATTAAGGCTTCGATAATAGTGATCGGAAAAAAAAAAAAAAAGTAATTCAGTAGGAGTATAGGATATTATGAATAGGAGGATCAATTAACCTATGGCCTTTCCTAAATAGGTGCTGTACTTCTCTCTGGCTATACTTTCCCCTAGTCTGTGCTCGAGACTAGTGTCGATCACTTTCACCTATCTGATGAGGCTGACTCGATTCTTATCATCGACCCGTTTACGAAGTACGTATTCATGCATCCACCCCTGCATGCCCGCAGGCAAACCGAGCCCGCTGAGGGGAGTGAGAGGGTTGGCCGGCATATCGATCCGTCCGCAGTCCAACCATGATGCCTCCGGCGAAGCTCCGAGAAGCCTGTAGGGGTCGAGAGGCTGGCATAATGGGTGGGGCCTTGCAGTGTATGAGAGGCTGAAATCACGACCCCTCACCAGTCATTCGCCTACGGTATATGTCGTACACTTCATGACCCCTCAGCAGAACTCCACTTGGCGCGGAGAGACCGCACCCCCTTCTTTGTTATTTGGCCTCCCCCGGGATAATTGGCTCCGGCCTCTGAAGCGCTCGGTCAGCTGCAGCCTGCAGGCCGACGTGGCACACTTCCTGCCTGCGGGCCGGAGTGCACTAGGGGGACAGTCCAAATCCTATTATTCGGAAAGCCAACTACTAAATTCGGAAAGCGGTTTATAAAGCCGTAATACCATAGTTACTTAAGTCCTCTTTTCCACTCTTCTCCGTAGGTTCTCTATATTATTTCCCCTCTCGATATACTACTATAAGCGCTGTAGTAGGTAGTCTATGTGTAATATAAGCTAAAAAGACTAATATAGAACCCTATAGGGATTCTACCACCCAGACTGCTATATAGTATTATAATAAGTTAGTACTAAGCTACCTAACATTCACTAGACCAGATATCCAGCTATCGTCGGTAGACCATTACCCAGACAGTGTAATAAGATTACCACTCCACTTGAAGCTGGCTGTTCTTTTGCGCATGGATCTACGAGTTGACGCTATTAGGCAACGCTCTAATGTTTATAAAATAATTTTTTTCACCTTCACTTGCTACTTACTGTACAAGACAACGTTGCAAAATACTGAGGGCGCTAACCCCATTTGGAGGGGGGGCCAACTATTAAGGGGGAGGGCCAAATAACAAAGAGGGGGGGAAATAAACAAGGAGGGGGGCCAGGTATATCATTTCATATGCAATGCGGTCTGTACAAAAACAGCTTGGATCTTGGTGCAGCCATGTCAGCCCGGAGCCTCGTTGTTGCAATGCCTGAGCTAACCAGACAGATTTAGCTAGTTACCCGTTCATCAGCTGCTCAAACTTGCGCCGCATTCTCAGCAACTCGCTGCAAGCACAGAATCGGCTCTCAACACTGCCTTCCCATGTATACCCTGCATATTAGCAGAACACCATCCACGTAAATTGACACTTCGGATAATTTCATTTCAGGAACAAGAAATAAATAGCCGATCATACATTTTCACCAAACAAATGATATCGTCACAACCGCCCTTGAACATTGTTGTAGTACGCTTTACCTGCGCTTCCATTTACACGGAACTGGAGCATCGTTGACAACTGATGTTTCGCAGATCGGAGGCTCTCTGGCGGGACTGATGACCGCCGTGGCACTGAAGCAAAGCGGTCATAATGTGACAGTCATTGAAAAAGAAGACAATGAACGGAAAAGCCACATGGCTGGCGTTTGTCTAGGACGTGATGCTGTGGAATATCTCGAAAAGTACGATCGCATTCAGGGCATCTTCTCCCACCAGTCGCATCGTGTTCAGGCCCTTGTGGGCGACGACAAGCTGAAAACCTTTGTCAATGGCCGTCGAGAAATTACAAACTGGGATACCATGTACTACCGGCTTCGTTCCAACTTTGACGGCTATGCAAGCGATACCTACCCTACATCCCCTTGGCCCTTCCCAGCAGATGGTCAGGGTGTGTATCATGCTCAAAAGGAGGTTCTCGATATTCAACGTGAAATACAACCTGACGACGACGACGGCGAGAAGAAGACGACAATGAGCCTCACATTGCTGGACCGCAAATCAGGAGACAAGGCCACTATACAAGCCGACCTAGTGATTGGTGCAGACGGCCCGGATTCTTTTGTGCGAAATAAGTACCAAGGCCACGTTGAGCGGAAATACGTTGGCTATATTGCTTGGAGGGGAACTGTCCCGGAGAGTGAAGTGTCGGAAGAAACCCGTCACCTCTTCAGACGCAGCGTCACTGTGTTTATGATGGACAAGCAGCACTGCATCGTGTACACGATCCCTGGCAAGAACGGATCGCTTCAGCCCGGCGAAAGGTATCTCAACTTTCTCTGGTACACAAACGAGACAGAGGAATCTTTGGACGAAATTTTAAAGGACGGCCTCGACGGCCATCGCCATCACAACATTGTCCCGTCCGGTCGTGTGCGACAAGATGTCTGGGCTGAACGAACGAGGCAAGCCAAGGCGCTGCCACTCAGCAAACCAATGCTGGAGATCTTTCTGAAGATCCAGCGTCCTTTTATTCAGGTCATCACCGATTTCTGCTCACACCAGGCAGCATTTGAAGATGGCAAGGTCCTGCTGGTTGGCGACGGACTGTCGCTGTTCCGTCCGCACACAGCCTTCAGCGGCACCCAGGCGGCGTTTCATGCCCTTTGCACGGCTGAGTTCGTCAATGGCAAGGCGACCCTGCAGCAGTGGGAGAGCAAGGTTCTTAGGTACTCGCGGCTGCACTACCTGCAGAGCAACTGGTATGGCGACTTTTACCAATATCCCATGTCGACGGCCCTCGTGGCTGCTGTGCGCTACTGGACCATGTGCGGCGTCGATCGCGTCTTGTCCTGGTACAGCGGCGATGTTCCGCTCTTGCGCACAGGCACATTCAAGAGTGAAGCGTACGACGACGAATAAAGCAGGCCGAGAATAGCCCCATTCAATCAGGGCGGTGTCGTTCAACCCCAACCTGGACGTCTATGGTAACCAGAAGGTCAAGTAGGTGGGCTGAGTATTTCACCGGAGAATGCAATATTGATACGGGCATTGGCTGCTGGCGAGAAGGACATTGACATGATGACCAACGAGCTCATGATTGATTAGCCTTGCGCATAAATACTTTTTAATCGGCGATGCTTTTTACAATTTGAGATTCGGACCTGTATAAACGATATACATTCTTAGGATATTTTTCTTGCCATTTATTTTCATTATTCCGATCATCTTTCTCTGCATCTTTGAAGTGTTCAACCCCTCTCACGTCGTCTAATCTTGAGCAAGAAGGGATACAATGTTGGACCACGCAGTGCGAGTGAGCCATCGTCAGGCTGTTCAATCCTTGTGGCCGCGCAATGCTGCCCGATTTTGGCGAGGTGTCTAGTTACCTCCAGGCAAACGGCGGTGAGTGAACCGAGTAACTACTACCCATGTTAGTGCCTTTTTCCCGTTGGGGGCGTGGTCCCCTGTCCTGTCTGGGTCCTTTCACCTCACGTCCGCCCTCCTTTGACCTCGGTGACGTTGGGCTCCGAGTGCGCCATTAAGGCAAAGATGATCATTATCAGCTCACCTGTACAGCTCATTCTTGATCCGGCATTGACGCCAATTGCGGAACAAACAACCGAGACCGATGAGATTATACCAAGTTGAACCACAGTCAATAAGCACTAACCGTAACGCTGGCGGTTGAGGGGGGATAGCATTGCAAATCGGGCTGTAGGCTGTGGCCAGAACAACCGGGTGTGTTCGATGTTCTGTGACTACAATCGAGGCTGCGGGCGCATCCCTTTGACAGTTTTATTAAGGCTACAATGAGGTATTCTACCCACCGACCAGGATGTACATATTAAGTACTTTAAAATTCGCCTTTCAGCCCCTGTATGTGAGTGCTTTCTTGTATTTGTGGACGCCCGTAGTACACAAGATGCACAGAACTGTCACCAAAACAGAAGTATCTCCGCAGTCAGTTATATTAATTAGCTATGATCCCAGTAAGTGATGCGCCCGCAGCCCGACTAGCGCAAGGGGGTGGGGTGGTGACCGAGGTGGCACAACAAGGCTGTGATAAAGAGCGCTATCCAGTAACTTGTTTGTTAACTAGTTGCTGTCCATTCCCTGTATGCTTTGATCTACGGTTACACAGGAGAACCTTTGATTCCCTGCGCGCCCGTCAGCAGACCGCGGTGGCACAACAAGGCTATGATAAAGATAAAGAGCGCTGTCCACTAACTCGTTAGTTAGTTACTGTCAATTACTGTATGTTCTGATCTACTCTTACACAGGAGAACTTTTTGATTCCCCGCGCAAGCCCGTCAGCAGGGCTGCTCAAGTCCAGCCCACTCTCCCTCCCAGGCTTGAATCCTTCCGATGCGACTGCAAACGGACCAGTCCTGCATCATGCCGCCGACACAGACAGCTGCTTCGTCGACAAGCGACCATGTTGAAAAGCCCCTACAGGGTGCCACCGCCAGTGGCCCCTCTGCGTCTGCCGGTGGTGTGACCGAGCGCAAGATCACGGGTGTTGCGTGGTTCGTTGTCAACGTTGCCCTGCTGTCGGCCACTTTTCTGTACGCCCTCGACAATACCGTGACAGCAACGGTGCGGCCTGCCATTGCCGACACATTTGGCCACCGCATAGACATGCTACCGTGGGTTTCAGTGGCATATCCCATGGGTGAAGTTGGCACCAACCCCATATGGTAAGATAATCAAGCAGCAGAGCGCATTTGGCGTACCGACTACCAACACTTTTGTTCACAGGGCGAAGCTCAACAAGTTCCTCAATGGCAAATTTGTCTTTCTCGCCGCCCTGCTCATCTTCGAAGTAGGATCTGCGGTTATTGGCTCAGCGTCGTCCATTGGCGCTGTCATCGCGGGTCGCGCTCTGGCTGGCTCTGGCGGCTCCGGCATCTACGTCGGCACCATTAGCATGATCACCGGAATGACGACTGCCAAAGAACAAAACCAATATCTCAACATTGTCGGCATGGCGTGGAGCTTGGGAACCATCCTTGGCCCCATTATCGGATCTGCGTTTGCTGATTCGCCTGCCACATGGAGATGGGCTTTTTACATCAACATCTGCGTTGCCGCCGTTGCCGCCCCCGCGTGTATCTGGATCATGCCTTCGGCGCCACCTAGCGTGTCTCTGGGGGTTATGGATGTGATCAAGGTAATTGACCATCTGGGTGCTGTGCTGTTTCTTGGCTCCGTCGTGTCGACAGTCATGCTGCTGGGCTTTGGCGGCGTCGTGTACAGCTGGGATAGCAGCCAGATGATTGGACTTTACGTTGCCACTGCTTTGCTATGGATCATGTTTGCTCTGCAGCAGAAATTCCACATTCTCACGTCGGATCGCATCTTCCCCGTGCAGTTCTTCAAGGATCCCTTGATGATTGGCCTGTGGATCTGGACGATTGTCGCAATTTCTGACATCGTCGTCACCATCTACACGCTTCCGCTGCTTTTCCAGTTTGCGCTGCATGATTCTTCGATGCGTTCTGCAGTCTACACGCTGCCATTTGTGGCATCTGTTGTGGTCAGTGCCGGCATCAGCGGGGGACTTCTGCCCAAGTTCCCGTGGTACAAGTGCTGGTTCATCTGGGCCAGTGCGCTGCTCCTTGTTAGCAACGGCCTGCTGTCCAGCATCCACACGCACACATCTAGGGCTGCCATTTGTGGCTATACCATTATCCAAGGCTTCGGCGTCGGACCAGTCATTCAGCTCGGCTATACCGTGGGCCAGTTGAAGCGTCCACAGGCGGCACGAAAGGACGTTACGGCGTTCTTCTCTTGTGCGCAGATGGGTGGTCTAGCCTTGTCACTGGGCATCGCCACGTCTGTTCTTATCAACCATGCCACGGAGGAGATATCGCCCATTCTACCAAACGTTCCTCTTGGCGAAATTAGAGGCGCCATTGATGGGGCGGGAAGTAGCCTGTTCGCGACGTTGACCGAACATGTTCGTGCTCAGGTCACCAACGCAGTTACGCAGAGTGTGGCCTCTGTGTTTTACCTGAATTTGTTTGGTGCAGCGCTTGGTTTCCTAATTGCCCTTCCTCTCAAATTTGAGAAGCTGGATTTTACCGATCTGCAGTAACGCACTTGTCTGCTCCAAGCTAACTTGGATCTACGTCATACATTACTGTTAGCATGAGACAACTGTAATCTTCTCAATCAATATTAATTGCTCATAAGTTTTTGTATGTATCCTAAAGCTGCGGTACAGCAAGTGCATCATAGCAAGATGTGAGGTACAGTAAGTTTTGGAGTAGCAAATGGCAAGCAAGAGAGGCAGCATCCATCACCTAAAACAGCGCACGGGCAAACTAGGGACCATGTTACAGGGCGTAGCGCAATGTAACCCAAGATGAACCTAGTCATTAGCTGTGGGCGCTGTATATCCAGCCCCGCAAACCTACGGCCATGTCTGAGACGCCCGCCCGTTGCTGACCGCAGGTAGTGGGTAACAAGCCAGCCAGCCTTGTCCAACAAAATCAAGTGGTTGGCACCAGAAACTTGCAGGGATACACGCGTCATAAACATCCAGCAGGGTTGATGCGAGTCGGGCGACCGACACGGAGCTATTAAGCCTAGCGTCATCCCATCCACTGCGCGCAGTTGGTTCCATCACCATCCCCCGCACCATCACATCCAACATTATGGGCATTTACACTCAGCTACCCGAAGGCATCGACGAGGTCGACATCATCGTCGCCGGCGGTTTGTTCATCCACCTCTTCTGCTCACCATATGTTTATACTAACAAGCTGCTTCTCTCTCGTTAGGCGGTACCGCGGCGTGCGTCGTTGCTTCCAGGCTCGCCGATGCCGACCCCTCGCTGTCCATCCTCGTAGTAGAGGGCGGGCAGAACAATAAGGGCAACCACTTGATTGCGTTCCCGCTCCTTTTCGCAACTGCACTGCTTCCCACCAGTACCGCAACCCTGTTCTACAAGGGAAATGCGGAGCCACAGTTGGACAACCGCGAAATGACCGTCCCAACCGGTGGTGTTCTGGGCGGAGGTTCGTCAATCAACTTGATGATGTACAGTCGTGCTCAACGCCATGATTGGGATTCGTGGGCCACTCCCGGATGGTCCACAGATGAAATGATCCCTTTCTTAAAAAAAGTAGGTTAATGGATTGCTAAAGCTGCGCTCTGTGACCCTTGCGGCCTTGCCATTTTGTACTACAGTGTTGACTAACCTGCCATTACTCGTTGTAGCTTGAGACGTATTATGGCCCTGGCCCTGATTCTGTTCATGGAAAAGATGGCCCTATTGTTGTGTCCCAGGGAACGTTCTGCTCTGAGCGTGCGACAGATCAATTCATTGCTGCCGCCAACGAGGTAGGCTACCCGACGGTCAAGGATCTTCAAGACCTCGACACCAGCAACGGCGTTCAACGTGCCCTCCGCTTTGTCGGCACAGATGGCCGCCGCCAGGATGCCGCCAGTAACTACTTGCATCCGAGGCTGGAAGATGGAGCACACCCAAACCTCCACGTCCTCGTTGAGACCAAGGTTATCAAGATCCTTTTCGAGGGCAAACGAGCTGTGGGTGTTGAGTTCAAGCCAAACCCTGCCTTCCAAAAGGACAACACCAATGTTCAACGCATCAAGGCCAGGAAGCTTGTAATTGGTTCCTGTGGCGCTCTCGGAACCCCATTGCTTCTAGAGAGGTCCGGTCTCGGCGACGAAGCCGTTCTCAACAAGGCCGGCGTTCCTGTTGTCGCCCATATCCCTGGAATCGGCCGGAACTACCAGGATCATCATCTCTTGACTCAGCCATACTACAGTGCCTTGGAGCCAAGCGAGACGTTTGACGCCCCCCTGGCCGGTAGAATTAACATGGAAGAGTTAATCAAATCAAATGCGCCAATCATGGGGTGGAATGGCCAAGATGCCTCCTGCAAGCTGCGTCCCACTGAGGCCGACGTCACTGCCCTTGGACCTGAATTCGAGGCGGCATACGCAAGGGACTATCTCTCCACTCCCAACAAGCCCCTGGCGCTAATGGCTTTGTTGGGCGGCTTCCCCGGTGATCCGTCCACCATTGAGCCAGCACAATACCTCGCGACCTCTTTGTTTACCGTCTACCCCTACGCCAGAGGCCACGTCCACATCACAAGCCCAGATCTCGACGCGGATATTGCGTTTGAGACTGGATTCTTGAACAGTGAATTGGATGTCAAGAAGCTCATTTGGGCGTACAAGAAGCAGCGAGAAATCGTGCGCAGAATGCATGTTTATCGCGGAGAGCTTGTTGGCGCGCATCCGCCGTTTGCCGAGAATTCGGCCGCGGCCCTTGTCAAGCTGGACAAGCCAAATGACAAGAACATCTCTGACATCCAATACACTGCAGAGGACGACAAGGTCATTGAGGGCTGGGTGCGCAAGAATGTCGGCACCACCTGGCATTCACTGGGTACTTGCAAGATGGGCGCGCTGGCTGATGGCGGCGTGGTTGATGCCGACCTCAATGTTCATGGCATTGAGGGCCTGAAGCTCGTGGACCTGAGCATCGTTCCTCAAAACATTGGCGCAAACACAGCCACCACTGCATATGCAATTGGTGAGAAGGCAGCTACCATCATTTTGAAAGACCTTGGGCTTTCTGTCAGCCAGTGAACTGCCGCGCAGTAAGGACACTCCAGCATATTGAGAATAGTTACATTTCTTTGATGGGCCGACCCCATATCATGGCCAGACGGTCTGCCGTCTCATTCCCAGGGTCACCGTAATGTCCCGGGACTCATTGTAATCGCATTGGGATTCCTCGTGCTTTGAGCTCTCCGGCAGACTGATGAATAGCTTGAATAATTCGCTGGCCTGACATGTTTCATGACTTTGCAATCACCTGTAGTGCAGACATACTATCGCTAAGGATTGTCGCTGGGCTTTGGGTCGTAGTTGTAGTAACTTGGGTTCTTCCGTGCCAGTGGAAAAACCAGCCCGATTGCATAGTAGATTGCCATGAGCTCAGCCGCGTAGACTGACCAGTATTCCATTGAACAGATACTGACTTGTCGAGACCCCGTTATCTGCCGGTTGAGGTCAAGCGCTACTGCTGCGGCCCCTAGTTGATTCTCTTTTCCTGAAGCATCTGAAAAGACTGTAATACTTCTTGTGGATTGCTTCGCCAGGGCGTTAGCCTGAGCTTTCTCTCGATCCGGCTCGATCTCAATTTCTATAAACGGCTGGGCTCGCCACGGTGCTAGTGGTTTTGGGTCGATTGTTTCTAAGGCCAGCAGCCGCCTAAGGTCCATGGTTCTCAGTTTTTCGGCGAGGGGAAAGCGGGCTCCGGAGCCGGTATAAGTGCTGCGTTCCTTTGCTCGCTTGATTACTTCATGGACCGGGTGGTCTTCTGGTAGCGTGCTGAAGCGAGCAGCCACCGTCTGTCCCCGCTGCTTGAGTCGCAAGTGAGTGGGTAGCATGTAGGATTCAACTTCGAGTGCCACCGTGGAAACTGTCCGGAAGGCTGAAAGGATTCGGATGAGAGCCGTTCTTTGTACTGTCTCTAGGAGCCGAAGATATATCTTGTCTCGGAGCGGATTGTGCCAGACCGTCGATGCGTCGTCTATAATTGGTGTGACGCATGCCTGATACAGTTGGCGCATTTGCTCTGGTCGGAGGTGCCTTAGCCCACTTAAGGCTATGTTCACCTTGGTTGCTCGTTTAACCGCTTTCTGTACATGTTCTTTCCAACGCATCTCTTTATCGAAGATCACTCCAAGAAGCTTGGCATTGTCGCCCGGTTTGATAACCTGGCCGTTTATAACAATTTGCCCTTTTCCGTGTGTCGTTTTCCGCCGGGTAAGGTGAATTAAATCAGTCTTTTCAGCGGCAAAGGATGCCCCCGTTCGCTGCGCCCACTCCTTAATACGGGGGATGTCTTCTTCCTGGATCTTCTTAATGTTCTCTTCCACTGTCGGGTAGGATCGCCAGCGGAAATAGTCGTCGATGAAAGCTGAGGCAGAGCTTGCTAAGGAGGAATGGAAGGAGAATCTCTATCAGCGCTTAATACCTCGCTTGTAGACCTAGTTAGACGATCCAAGCAGCGATCCCAATGTCGATTATGAGAATTTCTGTCTGATTCTTACGCGCCTTGATAATCGCCAGAGTCAACGCTTTTCTCTCAAGACCAACCAGCGTACCACGACTCCAGCCCCTTCAGGTGGACCGACCGGCAAGCCAGCGACTACAGGTGCGTCTCCAGCGGCCGTGACACTGATCCAACCCTCTGCGAAATCGGCTAGCCCTGGCTACCTTGCTCTGAGCACAGAAAAGAAGAAGCTCTCAGACGAAGGTCGCTGCTTCTACTGCAAGTTCGGACATGGACATTGGGCCGCTCTCCCTGTGAAAGGGTGAGAACCGTTCACTGTATTCGAAAAGCCCTACCCCAGATCCTACCTCCTGCAATGAATCTAGGCCAAATTAGGGTTGGACTAATATCATACCTATGTAGCTACGGAAATGAAGTAAACGGGATCGTCGGAGGGAACATGAAAATCAGCAATTATCGAAATCACGTCTTTTTCTCGCGTCATTCGAACCGCAGAGGCCTCTAGACCCCAATAAACCGCCATAGAGGCCCCAGAACCCCATGGTGGTGGTGCTTCGCACGCGTCAACTCCGCGAGCGGGATACGTGGCCTCCCAATCCCCAGAGACTTTAGGGGTACCAGACACCCCAACACCCAGCTACAGACGCTCTCAGGGCGATATACGGCCTAATGCAACCTTAAACCAGCTAAAAGAATCCTTGTCGAACCAATCGAGGAGCCAGGAACCGCCAGAAATCAGGAGCTCAAGCAGGGCATCCGGCCGAACGAGCGAAACGCATAGGCCAGAAAGACCGGCTAGAAGGGATACAGTAACTACTTAATCGACAAGCTCGGGCAATCACGGGAATGTTCAGAACTACCCCTATCGGCCCTCTTATTAGGGGGGCGGGTCTAACACCAGCGGAATCCCTACTAGAATCTAGACAGCTAGGATATATTATCCGGCTTCTAGGTCTACCCGAGAACCACCTAGCAAGACAAATTCTTCCGGTCAGCTTTAGAGAAGGGGATCTGCACGTACAACCTGACGAACAGCCGGGAGAGGACCGAAATTGGGCAGAACCAAGCCGGGGACCATGATCACTGGGCCAATATCTAGTACGCCAGCTAAATAAGATCCTACCATGCCAAGTGAGTGTGTAACCCCCAATATCATGGACTCCGCTTAAACTCGGAAAACTCTTGAGAATAGTCAGCGGCATCTTGCGCGATCTTTACGGCCTAAGGCGCCTGTCGTATTCAAGGCAGGAAGAGGTGATGCGGTTATATGATAGCCAGCTCAATCAATGGCGTGACGACTTTGGCGATTTTCTTGACATCTTGAAGACTGAGCTTATGATGCCCATCTTTCGCCGACAACACACGGTCCTACAATTGGCCTATTCGCATGCTATAATCTTACTCCATCCACAGGCTTTGTTGACGATGCCTTCTACGTCTAATTCGAACCACGGGAATGCAAGCCAAACGAGTCTGCAGTATAGTATTCGGAGATACTTGGATGCAGCGACCGCAATTATCAAGAAACTTAGAGAGCTCGTTATAAAATAGGAAATATATTCAGCATTTTGGTCACGTAAAGCCTCAATGTGTACTGCGGAAAAGTGCTAACTTATGTGCAGTTTACTCCTTACTATGTGTTCTCTGTGCTCGTTGCACTCTACCCGTATGCTGTACAGAACCGCTCAAAAGCCCCTCACGTCTGAAAACGGCACCTGGGCCTCGCGTAGCAAGGCCTGAGTGATCTAGCAGCATGCTCTACCGACATGACTTATGCGCAAAGATATGTCGTAGTCCTCACAGAGCTTCAGAATGAAGCCATGAAGCCGATTGAGGAAGGGAACCGGTAAGCTATACCCACAAATGGAGCCCTGTCGTCCTGTGAACAGCCATGTCCAGCGCCAGGAGATCTCGCGGACCGACTCGACCTAGGCTTACGGGCCGTCGTACCTGTCGCCGAGGATGGAGCGATGTCTTCCCAAGAACTCGCAATAGCCAATGAGCTTGACGCTCCCGTACCTGTAGACTCGATTCTTCCTGGTCAACAGGATGTCTACGATAGCCCAGACGATCCATGGGCTCTGTAGTCACTCGAAAACCGGGAAGCTTTCCGGAACCTTGGTATGGAAGGACTCGCAGATCTATCCTTCATGTTATTAACCGAAGATGCTGACGCCTTCCAAATTGACGAAGGAACTCTATAATCTATGAAATACCCAGTATAGACGGCTAAATGCTTGATCATAGCTTCTGAATCGATTTAACATCTGGCTGATTTTGCTCCATACTTCACTGTAACAGTTCCACTGAGAACTCTATCCTTTAGAAGAGCGCACCTTCCATCTCCCCTTTACTGTCCTAGACATAAACCACCACACTAGTTGGTGTGCATCAGTTCCTTTGCATATTTCAGGATCTATCCCTTCCCCTCCCTTGCGTCTGACCCTCATCCCCCTCCTCGGTCTCCAACCTCTCATCCAACTTCACATTCCTCAAAAAGAACATCACAATCAACATCGGGGCTAAAGCAGCAAGTCCAGCAATACCCAGCAACCGCTGCGACTCGCGATAGCTGCGGTCAACGGCTTCTCGAATCGGGCTCCCGAGTGTGTACTTCTGGGCCACTTTGATGGATCCAAAGATAGCTTTTGCTTGCGACTTGGCATCGTCGGGTAGATACTCTTGAAGTTTTGACGGAAGAGTGCTGCGCCATATTGCACCGGCCACGCTTTAAGCCACAAAAGTTAGTTGGCAAATGAAAAGTACTGACCGAGGGAGAAATGAATCACTAACCTTGTTCCAATAGCCCCGCCCACACTCATCGAAGCAAAGAACACGGCCGTAACGACAGAAACCTCCTGCCGAGTTACGACCGCTTGGACAGAGACCTGCGAAGCAGTCTGATAGAATCCTCGGCCAATACCGATCAGTGCTTTCGCAGTCACAAACGCTGCCTCGTTGCCTGTTCTTCTATTTCCCATGTCGACGAGATATAGTAGGACGCCCATACCGAGTACACAGAGCGGCACACCGGTGAAGACCCATACCTGTGAGCGTTTTGTATACTTCATGAAAAATGCGACGAAAATTCCAGAGACTTGGAAGGCGACTCGCAGAGAATTGCTGTTGTCCCATTAGCTTTGGGTTGGTAAAATGAGCCGTGGAGAGGGCCGTACTCGATTCTGGTTGCATGACCGGCACTGAAATGTCCTGCTACCTGCAGGTAGCTGGTAAAGAAGACCGAGAACACCGAGTAATGGAAGAAGTCTAATGCGCCGAGAATACATGCTGCTGCAACCGTACGATTATTGATCATTCGGTACGGGACGAAAGGCTTTTTGGCAAACCGGGCATCCCATATGATAAAGGCAACGAGAAGTACAATACCAAGAACTACCATGGCAACGAATGATCCCTTATGCCAGGCGTTGCTGTTGTTTGCGCCCGTCAGTGATAATGGGATGAGGAGGAGAGATAGACCGGCGACTAATAGTAACCCTCCAGGAAGATCAAGCTGAACCCAGAGGAGATCGAAGGTCCTTTTCCATAGTGGCTGAGAGGGGATACAATCTGCTCCTGAAGTCTTGGGCATTTGCACTGAAGCTCGATGCTGGTAAATCAACATAGTAGCAATCAATGGTACCGAACAAACTGGCAGAATGATTGCCCACATTCCCCATCCCCAGCGCCATGTTGAGTGATCTAAGATGCGCTGGGCCACAATGGTGCCAAGGTATAATGTAGGTATCGTGGTTAGCGAATCTGGCAGTGTTGACCAGATGCCACGGTTAATCAAAGTGGTCACATCTGCCACGAAAACCTGTTGCGTGAGGGCGTAGCCAGTTGAACCGATGGCCTCAAATATTCCTGCTGCCTATGTTGACATTAGCTTGGTTATGTTAGTTGCTTGGTGCTTAGTACAATATATTGTGGAATATCCTGGCAAGCCGCATAGATCACATATCCCAAGGCAGAGGCGAAGATCGAAAGGATAAACATCTCAGCTCGACCGAATACCTGCGCCATGTCAACGATAGCCTGGCAGGTGGTGTCAAATACCGTACGTCACCTAGCTTAGCAATGATAGGGTAGGCCGAGATACGTGTGATATTCATTACCACACGAGCAGCACTCATAGCTGAGTGCTGTTTGAAGGCGCTGGTGGTATACGGAACGTAAACTTGGGTGGCATAGTCACCAAAGTTGATGGCAAGGGTCGCTAGGAAGAGACTGAATCAAGCGCAAGTCCAAATTCAGTATATCTGAGCTTCTATCATGATAGCCAAAAACATACCCCACAAAAGCTGTGATCAAACCTTGCTTGCTCCACGTGTTGCGCAATATATCTGCCCGTTGAACACCCGCCTGCAGGCTCCCGGCGTCTGGTCTTCGCTCAACATCTTTAGTCGGGGAGGTAAGTTCGCGGAAAGCATCATTATCCGATATGTTCGGAGTAATTTCATGAGTCTGATCGACCGATACCCCCGCCACGGTCCCTTTATCCGTGTCGTTCGCCATGATTAGCCTCACCGGCTAGGAAGAATAACTGCGAATAGAGAATCAAAGCAGCCACGTGGTCCAGCACCATAATGGGAACACAACGGCCTTTAAACAAGCCTTTCCATCCGCAAAGCCGAGACCTCGTATTGCGGAAGTGGATGCATTGCGTGGTGTTCGATTCCATGCACAAGGACTGCGCAGTATCTAATCTAATCGATCGATCGCGGACTGACAGGATCGAATCAGATAACGCGTGCCAAGCCGCCAAGCTCGGAAGTTGACCGCGAGCCTTCCTCTAGTACACTTAGTTAGGGCTTTAGTCGGGCTCGCTGCTTTGCCCACGTCGTGGAATACTCCGCTTTCGGACCTCTCCTCTCCATCCTCCAGAGATCAATTAGTTCTTCCTGTCCCAAGGCTCTTTCCGGTATTGGTGCTATCAAGCGAATTCTCGGGCGAGATAATAGTTATACGAATCTTGGCGCAGTAGCGGTCGTTGTATTTGACTATCCTTGTTTTCTCTTTCACATTGGGCCATAGGGCTGCTTTTGCAAATTGTTGTTTTTCTAAATCCTGGTCGAATTTTGGCCATGGCCGAGCATTTGCTGACAGAATTGTCGAAACCTGCCGGGCGCTGGACCTTCACTCGTTCCGATGAGTTTTCCGTGCGGAATATTTCCTCGTGGCGTGTTGCGGAAGGGGCGGCCAGTGACAGCCATCTCATTCAAGTTTCTTGGCCGCTCGACTGGCCGACCGACCCATGTACTCGCGCCAATGTGCTGTAGGTTCCATCCCGCGTGAAACTGGATCATGGTAGAATAACGGATGTCACCTTAGCTATGTGGTGGACGGCAACGCCATGTTCCTCACTGCCACGGAAGTCGTGCGACAGCGACAGGCCCTGCAGCCGCAGAAGCCCGGCACCGTTGTCGTGGGCATCGGATACCCGCTCACTGACACTGCTAGTCTCTGGGATGCGCGAAGAGGGTATGACCTGACGCCTCCTTGCGAGAAATTCACGGCACCGAAAGGCCCCGATGGCCAGCCTCAGCCGCATGAGTACGGTGGCGCGGATAAATTCCTGCAGTTAATCACGAAGGTCGTGCAGCCGTTTCTATTAGGGTCGGTATTTCCACGCCTCGAGCTCGCGCGGACGGCACTCTTCGGGCACTCGTACGGCGGCCTCTTCGTGCTCCACTCCTTGTTTACACGCCCGGCTAGCTTCGACACTTATCTAGCGGCCAGTCCTTCGATTTGGTGGAATGACCGATTTGTTCTCGCCGAGGAATCGGGCTTCCTTCTAGACCCGGTTCTGGATTCTCGGCCTGCCCTTCGCCTGTGCTACGGGTCAAGAGAACAATTCCCTGCTCGTGACAAAGGCGAATCGGACGAGAGTTTTGAACGACGGGCCCAGAGCAAAATGGAACGTCGCATGAATGAAAATTGCAAGGAAATGTACGATCGACTGGTGCCTGGCTGTCGATTGCGATCAGTCGAGATAAGGGAGTACCCGGACGAAGATCATGGCAGCGTGATCGCGGCGGCGCTGAGTGGTAGTATTGTGTATTTCTTAGATTTGGAGGGCTGAGAGCTTGAGTCGGTCGATTGTCTGACGGAGGAGAAAGATTTTGTTGTTTTTCCTGGGTTACACTGCATCCCAATCACTAGCATCCCGCAGCCTTGTCCCGTTATGTAAAGTCTCCGACCACCGGACACCCCCAAGACCCTCTAAAATGCCTCGAGCCGCGCCCTACCGACACCAGTTTAACCAGAATCCGCAAGTGGGCCGAACTCAATCAAATTATCTGATCATCAGATAAGGCAAATTTATCCCTGCGCTCCACCCATCTAAGGTACTGGCCTCTTACAATTCACCGGACAAGTTGCCAACTGCCATACTTTGCCCCTAAGGTGCACCGGTCATCTAGCGTCCTGTTGGTCTGCCCAAGACAGCCCCTGGGTTCCTTGTTATCTCTCGACACTAGTGCAAGCGAGGGTTTGGAATTTGTCTCGGACTCCGTTCCGGATTTTCCCACACGGTGGGTAAGCATGGCGGTATTTAGGAATGGATCTTCCCGTGGATTCTCAGGGCCCGATCAGTGAGTTCCAGCAAGTATTGTCCGTGTGTCGGTCATCAAGATGAAATTCAGACTTCCTCTCAAGCCGGACGAGGTCCCTGTGACCGAGAAGGAGGTACGACATGACAATGAAGCCGTGCCGGTGTCTGACAGCAAGGAGGCCCAGGCATCGACTCCTGCGGTCGGGTCAGATAGTGAGAGTGAGTTGGTCAATCCGAACTTCCAGCATGGTGTGCAGGCGGCACAGGCTATGACCCAAGTCTGGTCGATGCAGCATATTGTTTTGGCCTACGCCCTGTAAGTGATTTCCAGTACCCAATCCATTGACACCCGGCTAACACTGCCTGCAAAAGGATCTGGATCATTCATTTCGTGATGGCATTTGCTTCAAGTATCATCGGGACCCTCACGCCATATGTCACCAGTTCCTTTAAGCAGCATTCCTTGACAGCCACCACGCAGATCCTCTCTAGTCTTATGGGCGGTCTCATGAAATTGCCTTACGCTAAGCTCATGGATATCTGGGGCCGACCGCAGGGTTTTGCAGTCATGCTCGGCTCCCTCACCGTCGGATTGATCATGATGGCTGGCTGCAACAACGTCGAAACATACTGCGCTGCGCAGGTCTTCCACGCCATCGGTACCAGCGGCATGAATTTCACCATGGACATCTTCATCGCCGATACCTCTGCTCTGCGTAACCGAGCATTCTGGTTCGCCTTCGTCGCATCGCCTTACATCGCTACAACCTGGGCCTATGGACCCGCCGCCGAGAGTGTGCTTAAAACGATGGGATTCCGCTGGGGCTTTGGCATGTGGGCTATCATCCTGCCTGTCGTCTGTTCGCCTCTCTTCTTCCTCTTCTACTACAATCAACGCAAAGCCATTAAGGCGGGGCTGGTCCCTGAGCGCAACAGCAACCGTACCTGGTGGGAGTCGATCGTCTACTACCTTAAAGAATTTGACGCGCTGGGCCTCCTGCTCCTCGTGACCGGTATTGCACTCTTCCTCCTCTCGTTTAACCTCTATACTAAGCAGGCCGATGGATGGCGCTCGCCGCTGATCATCTGTTTCGTGACTATCGGCGGACTTCTCATCATCACATTCGCCCTGTACGAGCGCTTCTGGGCCCCGGTCACCTTCATTCCCTGGAAGCTGATGAAGAATCCTACCGTTTTCTTCACCTACACCATGGCGGCTTCTATCTACACGGCCTGGTACATGTGGGACAACTACTTCTATTCTCTGCTCATCGTGGTCATGAATCAATCCATCACCCATGCCACCTACATCACCAACATCTACACCGTGGGCTCGTGCTTCTGGAGTCTTGTAATGGGTGTTCTGATCCGATACAACGGACGTCTCAAGTGGACGGCGTTATACTTCGGCGTGCCCATCACTATTCTTGGCGTCGGGCTCATGATCAAGTTCCGTGAAGCAGACACCAACATCGGTTACATTGTTATGTGTCAGATCTTCATCGCCTTCGGTGGCGGCACACTCGTTATCTGCGAGCAAATGACCGTGATGGCCGTTTCCACCCAACAAGACATACCCGCCGTCCTGGCCATCGAGGGCGCCGTGATCTCCATCGGAAGTGCCGTTGGTTCCACTATCGCAGGTGCTATGTGGATGGGAATTTTCCCCGGGAGACTCATGAAGTATCTGCCTGCAAGCGAGCTGGACAACTTCGCCAACATTTACGGCGATCTGGATGTCCAAGCGGGATACCCCATTGGCAGTGACGCGCGTAACGCGATCAATCGGAGCTACAGCGAAACGCAGAGGCTGATGTTGATTGCGGCAACGTGTTTGTACATCTTCACTCTGGGATCGGTGATTATGTGGAAGGATGTCAACGTGAAAAAGATCAACCAGGTGAAGGGACGAATTTTGTAGGAGCGGAGTTGCTGGTCAACGGGAAGATTTCTGGGGTAACGTTGAGGTGATATATATAAAAGTTTTAATGTCTTGTCTCGTTTTTGAGGGGCCGTCAAACATACTATTTAATTGCTGAATGTGTGATTGTGAACTTACTAATCTCCAATCTATTTCCATTTTGATTAAGTACTATACGCTAGTAACTGCTACAGCCGACTCTCTTTCTTTGTTTCCTTTTTCTCAGCAGACATCAACTGCCCGATCTGGTGAGTGACTGCCACGAGGTTCATTTTTTCATCAAAAAGAAGGGTTTCCACGTTTATTCCACCATTCCGAATACTCTTGACCTCATTCCTCAAGTACAGCCACCGGACACCTTCCTCCGGCAGCTCTTTCCTGATGTCAGTTGAGACAGCCAACGTGACATTGACTATAGACCCATCAAAGGTCTCTGAGCCATCGTTGGGCAAGTCTCTCCAATTAGGGTCACCTCGCTCCCTCGCTTTCTTCTGAGCAGCGGCGAAACGTAGAATGGCCGTCGTGCTCATGAGATGTTCTCGTTTATCATCTTTCGGTGATACGAAGTTACACTCGGGAGGAAGACTTGCATCCATAATAAATGGTATCATATCGGTTGTCCAACGCGGATGCGTGTCTTTGCCAGCCTTGCCGTCCTCTGGGGATGAGCCAGAAGGCGTACAGTTCCAGCCGGGGGCGATCCACTGCTCGATGAATGGGGTATCAGGGCGCCAGTCGACTAGGATATAATGCTTCACGTAAGAATGGGCGCGTTTAAACCCGGTCGGCTTGAACGCAGTATGATAACATATCCAACCGGGGTCAGAAAATGTTTCCAGTTTGGCGAGGTCCACGGGACTAGGTGGTGGGTGGAGAGTCCAGTTTGTAGGTCGAGTCAGGGAGGAGACCGACCGATCGGAGAGTCTAAGGCGGCGTTATCAATTAATGTCATCAGTAGTGTGGAACCGGAACACATACAGCATGTCCACGGAGACCGCCACCTCCTGACATTTGGCAGGCTGGAACACCTCTACGCGTATAGTAGACCATGCCTTTCCGACGCTAATTTCCCGAAGGACCATCCTCGCTGGCCCTCGAGCCGGGAGCAATGGTCGATAGAACTGGGCGTTCATCATCCGGAGACTCGCCTGAGACTGCAAGCGAGGATGTTTCGATGCGTAGTACACGGCATATTTAGCTGCAAGGGCAGGCATGTAACCGCCCATCGTCACTGGGCCCGTAAGCCGAGGGATTCCTTCCAAGAAAATGAAATTGAGGTCCACTCACCTGCCCCGAAGCAGATGTCAGGGGAAAGTGGAACGATGCATTCCTGGGAAGTGGAAAGTGGTGGCTGCAAGGCCTCAGACAGACTAATTTGCTGCATGATGGTTTATTCAGTGATATTAACGGCTTGATTGGGGATTTGGAATAATCTGAAGCGACTCCCTGCTCGTGATGGGTGAGATAAAAGAAGGGTTTATATGCTTTTTCAATCTTGCGCAATTCATGACACGAAGCTTGTGGAAGACGACGTAACTTTGATTTGGAAGTATTTGACACATTCCTCTTGAGTTTCATGTCGTAAGGTGACGCGTTTTCATGTGAAAGATTCGGCCAGCAGTACATAAACAGGGACCTAGAAGCTTATCCCACCTCGTTGGGAGTTTCGAGAAATAGATGCCGAGTGAGAAGCATCTGCCAAGCCATGCCGGAAACGAGGTTTATTTCGAGCTTAATTAAGCTTCCTGTAGAGCTTCGGCAGTAATGTTACTGGATACAGGCTATGAAATCATGGTTGAATCATGTGAAGTTAACTTCATAGAAATAAAGACCCTTTAAATTAGACAATCGAGTCAATTGAAGTTGACTCTACTGCTAAACAAAGTAACCCTCCGGCTTAACCCTACACCGGAGACTGGATACGATGGGGATCATACAAAGCATCAACAGCCAAGCTATCCAGTTTGCTTGTCACAATGCGTCCGTCCTTGACAATTGCCTTTAAGGATCTGTCGACTTTATCCAAGACTGTGATATCATCAAGCGGATTGTTGTCCAAGACCAGAAAATCTGCAATCGCTCCCTCACCAATAACGCCCAACTTTCCTTCCATTCCAATATACTTTGCCGCGTTAACGGTTGCAGAACGCAAAATATCCAGTGCATTCAACGCCCCGGATCTAATGCTAAACTCTTGATTCTGCAGCGGATGCATGCCTGCTAGAAGATCGGACCCATAGCAGATAGTTATACCCGCGGCATTAAGAGTCTTCAAAGCTTTCAGTCCACTAGCCAGTACCTCCCGGTTCTTAGCCTGGCTAAACTCATCGAGAAAGTTATCGAACGGAGGTTCAGACATTCCCTTATACGTCACCAGGGTAGGTGTGAACACGACGCCTTTTTCCTGACAGTATTTGGCCGTCCCTGGGTCGATGAAGTTGCCGTGCTCGATACCGCGGACTCCATTGTCCACCGCATGACGTATTGCCTTTGTGGTATAGGCATGCGCTGTGACGTAGGTGTTGGAATATGCCGCGGTGGTAGTAATGGCCTGAATCTCCTCGGCCGTGAACTGCAGCATGTCGAGCGCATCGGTCGGGGTCGCCACTCCGCCGCCAACCATAATCTTAATGAAATTAGCTCCCTGCCTCAGCTCGTCCCTCACAGCTGCGAGGCATGCCGGAACGCCGTCGCAAACTCTAGCCAGTGCCGGCGAGTGACCTCCACAGCACTTCGCCTCGTCTCCCTGATACGGAGCCCGAAAGTCGCCGTGTCCTCCCGTCTGCGAGAGAGCTTTGCCAGCAATAAAGAGCCGCGGACCGGTAACGAGACCCTCGGCAATCGCATCTCTCAAGGCAGCATCGGCTCCGCCGGTATCTCGCACGGTCGTGAACCCGCGCAGCAGCATCTCCCGGGCGACATACGCCGTGCGATATGCGATCGCGTTCGGACTGGCAGCAAAGATGTCCTTGAGCAAAGGGCTGCCAGGGGTGGCAGTTAAGTGGACATGACAGTCAATCAGTCCAGGACACACATATCGATGGTTCAAGTCCACCTTGGTGGAATCAGTACTGGAGGTCTGCTCAGCCGGTCCGATCCCCGCGATAACCCCATCGCGGACCCGAACGCTGCTGTTGGGGATGACGCGACCGGCTTTGACGTCGACGATGTTGACATTGACAAACGTGAGGTCGGGTGGCTGAGCTCGATTAAGCCAGGGTCTGTTGTAGGAATGTGCAGGCATGGTGAAGAATTCTCAAGATCTGTAGGTAAGACAGAGAGAGAATGATGGAGAGAGAAGGGTGTTCGAGGATCGGCCATGAGTGGGCGATCGCCATGACTGTCGATCAACCCCGCACGAGTAGATTGTGTAGCGCATGATAAGTTGATAATCCATAGCCATGAGGGGATAAGACCTGTACTAGTCAAGATAACCGATAAAGCGGCACTGTCGTCCGTCGAGGACAGTCAAGGACAGCCGTGGATGTCGAACACGCCCTTTCGGAGACATCGCCCGGTCTTCGGGTTGGAGCCGAAGCCCTCGAGTTATGACGGTCGGAACTCGGCCCGGATCCGAGTTTGGTTTGTCGAAGAGTTTCAGAGGAACAGAATCCTCCTTGAATTGGTGAACATGAATACAACATATCGTTTAAACTCCACACAATATCCCATGGACGAGAATCTCCTTGGGCCCTGGTAGGACCAAGTAATGTACCATAGTGCTACGCGGGTGGAAAGGACACGCAAGCATCTTTCGGGGAGACCTTCCGACAGAGTTTGGGGACATTATCAAGCTTGGTCCTCTCACGAACTCTGACGACCCGATTATTCCATTCATCTGTTATCATGGTAAGTCGATAATGTGAAAATGGATGGGGAGGAAGGAAGTTGCGCCCTGTACCCTCGGGCTTCCGTGCATCCTTCCTTCCTGGGCTTACTAGGCAAAAAATTGAGGTGTACGTAGTTTCGAACAAAGACAGAAGCTCTGTCGAGCGAAATATTCATTTACATGTCTATTTTGTAAACTTGGTTTTCTTTCCGCTTGGTATCTAGTTTCTTTGCTTCGGAGGTGCTTTCACATTGTGATTTCGAAGTCATGGCCCTGCATCTACCGCTACAAGCCTGGCAGTGCTTTAAACAAAAGGCTACCTGGCGGACTCGCCCGCTAGCCCAGAACCTTATTGCTGGGTAAGTGAATATCCGAGACTGATGTCTATGGGTGGGTGCTCATTGTTGAAGCAGATTAGTCCTGTGTCTTCTACCCGGCGTCTATTTAGCCCTGACAAGCCTCGGAGCCGGGGGTGGGAGATCCAGCTCGGAAACACTGGCGTCTAATGTCAATGCGATCTTGTACGGCGTCTTCGCCGGCACGGGCTGGCTCGGTGGCATCGTCATGAACCTCCTCGGCCCAAAGCTCACCATAGCTTCCAGTGCGATCGGATACATTGCATACACCGGTGGGTTATCCGGAAAATTTCCCTCACACAGCTCAGCTGGCTTATACCAAACGAACAGCTGGGTTATTCTATTTCGACACGAGCGGCAAATCGTGGTTGGCATACATGGGTGGCGCGCTCGAGGGGGTCTGTGCCGGATTGCTATGGGCATCGGCAGGTGCCATTGCATACTCTTATGCAGAAGAGAGGCGCAAGGCCTTCTACGTGACAATTCAATGGGTATGCTGCGTCGGCGGGTCAACTATCGCTGCAATCATCGCACTGGGCATCGATCTTCACAGCCGAGACGAGAGCGCCGGAGCTCCGACCAGCGTTTATGGCGTTTTGATCTCTTTGCAGGCATCTTCCATCGCCGTAAGTTTACTATTGCTTGTCCGGCCCTCCGAGGTTCAGCGCAGTGACGGACTGAGAATTGCCAACTTGTTCAATTCCTCCGCCATGGATGAGTTGTGCGGCACCTGGGAACTGGTGAAAGAGTGGCGGTTTATATTGCTTCTGCCGGCTATGTTTAGCGGCGAGGTTACCCTGGCGCAACAGAGCTCTTTGAATGCCCACTATTTCGATCTTCGCACACGATCCTTGAACAATATTCTGTTTAACTCTGTTCAAATACCAGCGAGTCTTGGGATTACTTGGGTCCTTGACCGTAGTCGTCTGTCGAGTCGCAAACATAGATCGTTGGTTGCCATCTCTATCGTAACAGTTTTCACAGTTTCAGTGTGCTCCTGCCAGATTGCTTGGCTATCACAGCATAGGATTGATCGGAAAGGCCAGGGAAGTTTGACGGACTGGAAGGACTCGGCATTCGGCGGGGCATTTGCTATCTATATTCTCTATGGCGCAGTATACGGGTAAGCAGCTTCTTCTTCCATGCAACACCTCCCTGTCTAACGTTCTCACTCTAGTGCCTTCCAAATGGCAACACAATACCTACTCAGCTCATTCACTAACGAACCATTGAAGCAAGACCCCTTCCCAAACATTATCTACCACTTGATGAATATTAACGTGCTTTCAGACTCGCGCGATATTCGGGTTTGTTCAGAGGAGTGAATGCACTCGGCATGATGACTGCGTTCTTAATGGACGGTTATGGCGTGAGCTACTTTCATCAGATAATTTTCCAGTTTGCCTGCTTCGTTTTGGGGTTGGCATCGTTATTTGTGGTGGCTTCGAAATATGTGACCAGCACGAACTATGGCAACGAGGACAATGTAATTGCACCGCAGCACGTCCAGGATACTCTTCGTCCTTCTATTTGCCTGGAAAATATGCCCCCGCCAGAATAATGTGGACACAGCGAGACGACAGAATGTACGAGTATAGGCTATGGGTCTGAAATTATTTCCATTCGTATTTGCACTGCATGAGGGGTAACATGTCCCCTTGCCTATGCCGCATTAATGCATTGATGTATGTATAAGGATCCAACTATCTGAAACGGCCAATGGAAAAGCTTTCAGCAATATCATGTCGCACAGGGTGCACGCGATACATATGGTTCCTAAGCCAAATGGCGGGCCTTGCTCTCTTGCGATTTACAACAGGTAGTTCGCTTGTTCCAAGCTAGTTAGTTTCCATTGCAACAGGATGATTCCTGATTCTTGCGGCTTGGCCTTGCGGCTTGGACCAATGTCTTAGCTAGAGGGCAAAGCGTATTAAGAGGTCGAAGATTGAGGCCGCGAACCTAGGTAACTAATTAGTCAATTCGCGAACTAATAACTAGTTAACTAGTTAATAAAACGGATTTATAAGCTTCTTGAAATTGGGTGGATGTGCATGTAGGGTGGTATTATTAATGTTGAACAACGTTACAGCGAATTGATTGGGATCTGCAAGATACTACGGTATGTAAAAAACATGGCGACAAACACGTTTCAACTCTCGCACACCGCGCCCTGTGGCCATGTGAGACGCCCCGAGCATCGTACTGTAATGGCCAACGTACGGCTGAAGAGGAGGCAAATCGTGCCCTGCCTCGATCCATCCCCTTCTCTCATTAAATTTGCTGGCTAGACGCCTCTTGGCGTTGGATTTATCGAAACGGCGAACAAAGAATCCCTGCCTAGGATCCAGTTTTCCTGGAACTAGCGCAGGAATCCCGGTCTACAACATTCGCTAGCCCCGTCAAGCACCGCGCAACCGAAATGACTTCACAAGCAAATCCAGAAACTCGCCGAGCGCTAGTGAAACCTGACTCAATGAAAGCGCGGCGTCGTGCGGTTACCAGCAGCTATGCGACCCACCTCGTCCACCATCGTCACTAATGATTGATCACTGCTGCCTACTCCGTAGGCCCTACAGATTGCACAGCCGTGGAGGTGAAACAATGATTGAAGCGGGGATGTGGCATCGCCCTTTCCCGAGGCATGCTCGGCCGGGCCTTCCTTCTGCCACGGCATCCAAGACTGAGTCTGTAATCCCCGCACATTTGACACGGTCAGTCTTCATATCTGGGTCTTTTCCCTCGATTCCCTGGATTATTGCGAGTTTGTGGAATTGTAGAGTGTTGTACAATTACGCTCACAGCGTCGGTTCCCGCGATGACCATAGCCTATACTCCAGACTCCCAGGTGGAGACTGCGTATCAAACCCTTCGCGACACCTTCCGATCGGGCCGCACTCGGGAGATCGCCTGGCGCAAATGGCAGCTGAAACAACTGTGGTGGCTTGTCGAGGAGAACGAGCAGCGGATTCTTGATGCCCTCCACCAAGACCTCCACCGACACACCTTCGAGTCCATTTTCAGCGAGTTGCGAGGAATAAAGACAGACATTCTGGACCATGTCAAAAACATCGACAAGTGGACCGCAGACCAGGTACCGAACTCGGGGTTGGTCATGAAGTCGCTACTGCGTCCGACCATTCGCTATGAACCCCTCGGCGTCGCATTGATTATCGGGCCCTGGAATTATCCCACGTCGCTGATAATTCAGCCCTTGACTGCCGCCATTACCGCCGGCTGCACGGTGATGTTAAAGCCGTCGGAGATTGCCGTCGCTACCCAGAACCTGATGGTCGAGCTGATTCCCAAGTACATGGATCCCAGCGCCATCCAGATCGTGACCGGAGGAGCAGCCGAAACTGGGAGTCTCATGGCGCGGAAATTCGACCATATCTTCTTCACGGGATCAGTTAATGTAGCCAGATACGTTGCTGCCGCTGCGGCGAAGAACCTCACCCCAACCACGCTGGAATTGGGAGGGCAGTGTCCGGCTATTGTGACTAAATCGGCAGATATCGAGGCAGCCGCGCAGGATATCACTTGGGTTAAGTTTCTTAATTCGGGGCAGATCTGTCTCTCAGTCAACCATGTGTTCGTCCATCCGGACGTGGAGAAGCAGCTTGTGGAGCGACTGACCTTCTACTTCAACAAATACTTCTCCGAGGGAGAGAAAGGGATGACAAGGATCGTGAACCAAAAAAATTACGATCGGTTAAAGGGGCTGTTGGAGAAGACGAACGGCTCGGTGCAAACTGATGCAGTCTTGGATACCGAGAAGCGCCAAATTCCTCCCTCACTCGTCACGAATGTCAACATGACAGGTACGCTTAGACATGACCATCCTACTACTATCAACAACTAACTTTCTTAGACACGCTTCTTTCCGAGGAGCTCTTCGGATCTATCTGCCCCGTCATCACGTCGACAACCCAAGATGCCATCCACTCGATCAACGAGTAAGCAAACTTCAAACGACCACCGAAAAATGCTAATTATCCCTACAGTCTCCCTGCGCCTCTTGGTCTATATATTTTCAGTCATGACGAGCAGGAGATTGAGCATAGTGAGTTACGAGATATCTTCCCAGATCAAGCGGTTCTAACGAGGACCAGTCCTCTCATCCACCCAGTCCGGCGGCGTCACCGTCAACAAAGTCGCCTTGCATGCTGCGGTTCCTGGCGCTCCCTTTGGTGGTGTCGGTGAATCGGGCCACGGATACTACCATGGAGAATGGGGATTCAAGGCTTTCTCTCACATGCGCACGATCGCCCGACCGAGGCCATTAATGTCCAAACTTTCTACCTTCGCACTACCGCCATACTCGATGGACAAGTTGAAGTGGCTGCAGGTGAAGAACAGTCTGGGATTCAAACGAGACTGGACTCTGGAAGATGAGAGGAGAGCGAGTAGCCGAGGCTTATTGCAGAAGCTCGGTGCGCGCGCTATTCACATTCTCGCGCTTTTGGTGTCTCTTGGCTTGGTGGATTACCAAACAAACCAACGTTTTGGATTACTTCGTCGAGCTATCGGGGCGGTTGAGTACATCCGAAAATGGTTTGGATGAGAGTATCTCTATTCTATCATGGTAGTTTCCCGGCCTTAGAGTCTTGCATATTTTGTGAACTTCACTGTACATAGGTTAGATTGGTATGGGCTCTTTGATGGCACCCTCCAGTGTTTAAAGATGTCTAGTGGTTCAAATATTGGAACTATGACACAAGATAAGTACTATACGACAACCTCTGTTTTTTGCCTTTGGGACCAGTCCAGCGCTCCTCCATACGAGCAATTGTAATCCATAAACTCCCCTGGACTCATCTTCACTCTTGTGTTTCCCGGGTCAGTTGCTGGCTTTGCTGCTTGTCGACTATAAGCCTGAATAGTGCTTGCCCGATCGTGCCGACACTCGAAGACGGCTCTATTGACTTTTTCAATCGCGTCAACCGACTTCGGATCGTTCTTCCCTTCAAATTCGGCGAAGAAGGCCCCGACAGCCTCCGCATCCTCGATCGCCTGACTGGCGCCCTGGCCCTGAGTCGGCAACATCGCATGGGCCGCATCGCCAATCAGTAACGCTCTTCCTCGGTACCACGTAGGCAAAGGGTCCAAATCGCGCAGCTGCCACAGTCCGACCTCACCGGCGAGCTGCAGCGGCCGTTGCGCCCACTCAGGGAAGCCGGAAAACGTATCCAGCATTTTATTCCGATCTCCAGCCGTGGTCCAACTCGTGTTATTCGAAGATTCCTGCATACGTTCGTCCGGGACAAGGGCCACAATGCCATAGATCGAGCTGTTTCTCGCCGGACCCATAACCAAACGACGATCAATTCCCATTACCATGGTCGTGCACGATCTGCAAGGATCAATCACATCGGCGAAGTCGCTCTTCCGTAACTCCTCTGTCGGAACCATCATTCGATATGCGGATAACCCTGTCCTCTTCGCCTCGACGTCCTCCCCAAGCACGGCTTTTCGAAGGGAGCTCTTAATCCCGTCCGCTCCGATAATCAGATCGGCCTGCATCACTTCCCCGTTTGCCAGTTCCACCCGCCCCTCTTGGCAATCACAACCTACCACTCTCGATGAAACCCTCACGGTGACCGGTCGCCCGGGGTATTCATCCGCCGTGACTCTATGCTTGAGCACAGAATGCAAGTCCGCGCGATGATAAACCATTCTCTCAGCGCCGTACTTCTCGCTCGTCAACAGCGGAATGTTGATTTGCATTTCCCCATCCGTGTTGTAGATCTCAAACGCCTCGTCGACCATTGATCCTCGGTCACGGAGCAGCGCAGAGAGACCCCATTGTCGCTCGACGATCTTCGAAGCATTGGGCTGTAGGGAGATCGTGGCGCCGATTTCTTTGTTAATGGGTGATTGCTCGAGGATGGTGATTTGTCGATCGTCGGCGCGGAGAGCAATTGCCTGGTGGGTTAATGGTCAATGTTTTAGTATAATATCATAGAGGGAGGGAGAGAACGTACAGCTGCTAGGCCGGCAATTCCGCCTCCTACGATGATAATTCTGAATGGGTCCATCTCGTCGTTTCTTTCGCTTGACAGTGTCATGACAATAGAATGCGATAATACCTATATGAATCGTGATCGTCCTCGACCCCCGCAGCGAGAATTCGGGAAGTGGACGTGGACAAGACTCGAGCAGACGAATGACACTGATTTTGATGCATTTCCTCCAGCAACAGTCGCTAAAATCCATCACGATTGGGTATTCTCATGCGGGGGTTTATTCATGGCAGATGATACAATTCGGAGCATGCTGGCGGGTCTCGGGGAGCCCCGAGCAACACGGCAGTTGTGAGGCCGCCGAAGAGAGTCCTCCGAAGAACGCTGAGTATCGTCTCATTTTCTGTTCGGGGCGGTTCGATCCCCGAGATTCCTTCAAAAATAACATGCTCTGATCTCATACAAACCTCAAAATAAAAAAGGCTGTATCGATCAAGTCTGATCCAGGTCCAACAACACAAGTCATTCCTCCGAGAACTCAAACTCATCATAGTAACAAGTTCACAATGTCCACCACTACCACGATCAACACCCAGCCCATCACGGTGACCACACCTAAGGGTCGCATGGCCCTGGATGGTGAGCCCACCAATTACGGCGACTTTCGCGACGACCTCAACCGAGACGGATACGCCGTGATCAAAGGCGCTGTGCCGCGCGACCGAGCCAACAAGTACTCCGATGCGTTTTTCGGATACCTTGAGGGATTGTAAAGATCGCCTCTTCTGTGCTACCTCCAATCTTTCTGAATTGAAAGCTAATCAAGCATATAGTGAACTTGGCTACGATCGCAACGACCCATCCACTGTCCGACGCGCCAAGCTTCCCGTTCTCAACGAGAAGGGCATGATTCTGAGCTATGGCGTCACGCATGAGCAATGGGTCTGGGATATTCGCGGCGAGCCAGGAGTCGTGGACACTTTCGCGAAGGTGTACGATGACGAAGACTTGATTGTGTCCTTTGATGTTGTCAATGTCGGATTTGCCAAGTGAGTCATCTATGTTGCACTCGCTCTTTGCCACTCGTCTCGATGGGTAACGCGAAAGCTAACATGACGATTCTATAGTCGAGAGGACCTCCAAGAGAAGTAAATCATCTGGCTCTCAATGACCTGTGCCAAATATATCTAATATAAGAACACAGTAAACCTTGGCCCCATCAGGACCAGGACCCAGCCAAGCCCGGATTCCGCTGTATGTTTTCCTTTCTACCCGGCTCTCGCTAACTACCATACTGACCTGTAATTATACAGGCCTTCAAGGCCTCGTCAACCTCAATCCATGTGGGCCCAACGACGGCGGACTCATCGTGTGCAAAGGCGGACACAGGCTCTCCGAGCAATTCCACCGCGAAATGGCCGACGAGCCAAAGATCCCGGCCTGGACCTCCGAATGGTTTGGATATACAGAGAACGGCATGAAATGGCTCAAAGACCATGGTCTGGAATGGGAGAAGGTCTGCGTGGAGCCCGGAGACCTGATCGTTTGGGACAGCCGCACTCCGCATTACAACGTGCCTCCGAGTGGAAAGCAGGACCGGCTGGCTGTTTACACGTGCTATACGCCTGTTCGAGAGGCGAGCCAGGAGGATCTGTTGAAAAAGAAGGGGGCTTTTGATAGTTTGTCCCGCCCATCTCCCCCATTTTATCTTCAAATGGTCGGCCGAGTAAGTGCTAACTGGAGTATAGAGCGTCTGGGAACAACTCATTGGCCAAATGCAGCGCATGTTTCGCCCACGAATGTCGCGATGAGAGATGGAAAGCCGTGTTCCAAGAGCCGAAATGGGCCTGTTCAGGATCCAGTCCTGAATGAGAGGACGTTCAAATTGACTGGCATTCCGTATATCAAGCAGGAAGCTTAGTGGTTGAGTGTAGGGAGAAAGTCACCGCTTAAACAATTTTACATGATTTGGAATTTTTTTTTTTTCTAATGGTCACTTGTTTTTGGCTTGAGTCGGTGACCTTCTGATGGTCAAATGTTAGTAAATGATGTATATTGGTTGCTTATATTTTGATTCCTAAGTATTTATTGTATCCCGCAAGTTGACATAGCATTCAGCTCACGCGCCTTTAATTATTTTGTCGCAGTAATACATACACAAGAGCAGGACCACTTCTAAGGGTGGAAACCTTTGTAAGAACACATCTTAAAAAGCAAACTATGATCACGGTCATCATCGCATTTCTCGCATCTCAGCAAAACTACAAAATAAGGCAATTAGTACACTATATCATCTATGTCCACACGGTCGCCTCAGTCCCTTAGGCTGCATCTAAGCCCTTCGGACTATCAAAATACAACATCCAATTCCACAAATCCTCCACATTGTAACCCTCGAACGGGAAGACGCCTCCATCGACAGGATTTGGACAATCGCCCAAGGCCGCAAATTGGTCCATAAATGAACCATTCTCTTGTGCAGTGTCCTGTTCTTGATTTTCTTGTGGGTACCGTCTCCCAGCTCCGCTGTCCGCAAGAGGCATATAGGAGGTATTCCGAGAGGGCTCATGGTGTCGTGGATTAAACTCTGGGTTCAATGATGGATGGGAGATACCGGGATGAGAATCAATCTCTCTTCTCCAGGGCATTGATGGATTGTCCTCGTAGGTCGATGGTGTGAGAAGAGGATTCTGAGTGTGTCCGTTGGTGTTGTTGTCCTTGTGAGTCGTGCTGACGGATGGGGGTCGACTGCGTTCGTGCGCTTGGCTAGACAACTGTGCTCTTGCGAATCTCCATGGCGAGATAAGAGAGCCTCGCTCCTCTGAGCGTCCATGGGCTTCAAGGTGAGCTGCAGTCTGGTCGTATATTACTGCTAGGCCTGTTGTTGAAGTTAATAATCGAGTGTCAAAGATGAAGCGCAGGCACAACCGACCTTCTAAAAAATGAACATTGCCATTAGAACTAGCAAGTCGCGTACTAGTATACTCCAAACAGGCCTTCAGCAGCTATGTCCTTTAGCGACCGTCTTGTTGTTCTGGGGTGATTGATCACAAACCTGTAAGTCCATAGCCTGAAGCTTTGATTCCGGATGTTTCATCAGGTAGATAGCCAGAACGATGCAGGCGAGTAGCGACGGACCCGCTGGGATAAGCCTCGAATCGGCGTCTCTCTCCGAGAGCTCAATGCTCACCTTTGCAATAGCTCGGGCGCTATTGACACAAATTGATTCCCCATTCCGCAACCGAAATTGTGAAGGCTCGTCCGCGCAGTGTTGAGCAATCTCCCCATTGAAGCTTGCTGATGGCGCGATCAATGCCGCACGGTGCAAAGCAATCAGTGTCTCCTGGTACTGAATGGACAGGAGCGCGACCATGTGGAAATCTGAATCCTGGCAGAACAGGTCGTTACCTGGTCGGAGTTCGGGAGGAATTTGGTTGGCCCAAGAAAGAAGAGAATGGTCGAGTCGGGCCGTGTCCAGCAGAATCTGGCGGACACTTCGAGATCCGGCGCGATAGTTGTAGATGTGTTGGCTAATGTTACTTTGGAACTCGGCGAGCCCAAGATGCCAGTAAAGCAACGAGGACTCGGAGGAAAGGGATCCAACGGGGGTGATATGTTCCCGGATAACAGCAGGTGGACGTCCCGACTCGATCTCCATCATTTTGTCGAGGCAACAGCAAACTGCCCAAACTTGCCTATTCAAGCTTTTATCGTCGGATGGAAGGCTTGATGAATGACGATAGATCCCCAAAGTATATGCGATGCGGATTGCAAACCCGAGGGTCTGCCATGCAAGACCTTCTTGGTTGCGCCCACGATAAACGATAGTGAAAAGTAGTAACGTTTGAACAGCAGGAAAATATGGTGTGACTATGATATGCGAAAGCAACCCGGTCGCAGCGTGGCAGTATTTGTCGCCTTGTTCCGTGATGCATTGGGCTGTTTCGTCGGCACCGAAACTCGTCAGAAGGTAGGCAGCTGCTAAGACCGGGATATTATCCCGAGGGAGCTCCGTGTAGTCTGACAGTGCAGAGAGCTGTTCGATGCCTGCTCGGATGGTCTTAGGGTTGAAGATTGGATAGAGCGGGTGGATCCGAGACTCGTAAATAGTCAGATATCGTTCACGCATCTCTCGGCTCGGTAGTGTCGGCAGCGATAGTTTCAACGACAGTTCCAGTTCTTCTGCGTGTCGCATGCCATGCCGAAAAGAACCCGAGATCGGTTTCAGTCTTGCTGCTTTGAAGAATACATCCAGAGACTTGGCGAGACATTGCGAGCTACTGCCTCCCATGATCTTCATGCGATTCGTCTCATGTTCCACGTTGACGGACGTGATGAACGGTTGATGCACGGGCGAGACGCCGTCCGTCTTCTCGGTGGCAGTCATGCCATCGTTCGGTGATGGCTGTTGCTGCTGCCCCTCAGGGATCAGATCCTCCTCCCTCCCTGACTCCCTGCCTGTCTCCCTCTCGTCTTCCCTCCGGGCAAAAAAGCCTCCTCCCTTCTCCGGTAACTCCAGCCATTCCCGCACGCCTGTTACACCCGGTCGCTGCGGATCAGTCGTGACGCAAACCTGATTTCGTTGTCGACAGTTCCGACATTTCGGATACTCCGCGTCACATTTCACTTTTCGCTGTCGACAGACATTACAGGCCATCGACAGACGAGGCCGTTTAGCGGCCGGGGGTCGATCCATCCCGAGGCACGGTGTCCGATTCACCGTCCTTGACGGCGACTGTACAGGGCCATGCGCATCTTGACCTTTTGGCTTATCTCAACGCTGTCCCGACATTCTCGCGCATTCCTAGTGCCAGTGACGGCCGGGGGTGTCCACATGCGTTAGTAGGGAGATACAATGGGAGCAATAGGAGGCGCTAGATTGTTAATCCCGGATAAAGGAGTCGTGGAGAAATGCGGGGTCAGAACCGCGGGGGATCAGCCTCCTGACCCCGGCCACCCGCTACTGAGTAGGTAGAGACTATTGCCTGGAGCTCTCTACTCCGCCAGATCCTGTCAGCTCCTGGGACAGCATTGCAATGATTGCATACTCAGGGTGGCCCTGGTGACCTCGGTTCTGGCTCGGAGGATCAGCCCCCCGCTTTCGGGTCCAATCGGTGCACAGCGTTACTAGTGCCCTTCTGCGAGAGGGTGTCGGGATCAATTCACGCATCCCTGGTGACGGGAATTGCGTCAAAACCATTTGCCGTGATTATATATACGATCACGTTGATTGTTCCTGGGGTTGATTGTTGGGAAGGTGATGATGAACCAACAACTTGTTACTTGATATATATCCTCATCGCGGTTAGCGGTCAAGCTTCAATTGCAGGTGTTTCCCTTTATCTGAAAAACATCTGAGAATGCTAGAAGCAGGCCCAACAATCAAAGCACCATTTCTTTTTTGAAATTAACACTCTACAAATGTTGACGAAACTGGTCATCCGAGCGGCTCTAACTGCCGGAATCTGCCTGCCATTTTACATGCCCTTCACGCGATCCCGCGACTGCAGAAAAAACAGACTAGATATCCACGAACGTGAGAACACCTGACTTTGGGTTAGACGTATACCGAACAATATTAATAAGTGATAGGCTATCCAGAGCTAGCACGGACACTTTCGTGAAAAGGTCATTGGCAAACTATTGTGTATTGGAGGCTTCGATCACTCGACACTCGGCCAGCAATTGAAGGTGTATCGCGGCGACTCAGGTACTAAAGGTGCATTCTGCTGGGCGCGATAAAATTGTACATAGAACATAGGCCGCAGCAATTCCAGTGTACCGTATGCTTCTTCCGCACGATTGGACATGATAGAACCCCGATGAACTCGTCTTCCGGGTGGCAACTGCTAAACTACCATAAAAGGTCGAAACAGATATATCTTTACGGTTGTGAAATATGAGTCAATCAAAGATCTAACTAGAACTTGTCTTCGAGAATTGCAGTGGCATTGTCTCACTAGTTTGGCTATTCTTTTTGAATAAACAAGTCTCAAGTAAATGGCAAGATGAGAGAGCTGGGATAGTCTCCGCCACAGTGAACCACATGCTTCCCCTTATTCAACTCGTGTTCCGGCCGCGGCTTCGACCAGGTCTTATATTCTGCGATACTAGGGAATTGTCCAGAGACCTGTGAAAATTAATACAAAATCAATGCTGAGCGCCACTTCATGGATGGAAACTTACCCGCAGGCTTATCGATTCACCAGCATCGAAATCAACGCCCATTGCCCAGATACCAATCTCCAATTTCACAATTGTGCCTGGCTCCACCTTCTCCTGCTTAGAGTGGGGGTGGAATGGGAATTGCGGATGAATGCTCTTCGATTCATCGAATGCACGATGGGACGCCCTCAGAATGCCCATCGATCCCAGGTGGAGATTCAGGCTCGCCTGGTCGGTCTTTGGGATCTCATCGATGGCGTTGACTGGAGTCGCATGGATGGGGAAGTTCAAGTGCATGAGAGGCTTGCCGTCTTTGTCCTTCTTCCGCAGAATGACGAAGACGACGAAGTCATCTCGATCCTCACAGGACATGTATAAGACTGCTTTAGGTAGACCAATGAGTCGGGATGGTTTGTCGAAAGTGTAGGAGAATTCGGCGAAGCTGGAAGTGTCCTCGGAATTATAGGACACCGTGTGTAGATCAGTAGCCGGTTTGGAAGCGAGTTGATCTTTCGAAAGGAAGAGTTCGCGGTACTCGGTGTTAGGGACAGGGAAGTCGCCGAGAATAATATCGTCAATAGCCTCCCGATCGCCAAACTGCAGCGCTGACCATCGCACCTTCGGTGTCTTTTCCCACTCATTTTGAACGCCCTTCAGATAGCGGTCGAAAAATAGGAAAAGCTCTTCCTCGGACTCAGGGCAAGAATAGAGCTCGTACCACTCCTGTTTACTGCCCCAGCGAATCCATTTCTGATCATGCGGCAGCTCCAACCACGCGCGAACGGATCCCATCGTGTGGATCGAGCTGACATCCGATCCACGAATATACACCGGGCACTGTACTTTTGAAATGTCGGCCCTCTTGTCTTCCCAGAAGGCGCTCGAGACCGGCGAGCGACGGTACATTTCCTCAAAATCCTCTATCCCGGAACCGTCGGGTCCACGGACGATCTCGTTCGTAATCAGGTCGAAATTGCTCATCGAAAACCAGCCGCCACGACAGAACTGCTCGCGATAGATATCACCAGATCCTTCCCATGGTGCGATTGCCTTTAGCGACGGGGGCTGCTGCGAGGCAATGAACCATTGAGAAATTGCCAGTGCCGAATTACCGGCCATACCGATGGATCCATTGCACCAGTCCATAGCAGCGATCGCTTCCACGACGTCGTATCCATCCTCGGCGTCCTGGGAGCCCATGACGTTGATGAGCCCGTCGCTATTTCCAGAGCCACGAGTATCGACGCTCACGATGGCGTACCCTTGAGGACACCAGGTCTGAGGATCCAAGCCCTCGAACTTTTCGAGACCGCTGAGATCGGACCGCGGAACGCAGCAGTTCCATGTGGTCATAGGAAGCATGTCCAGTGCGCTGTACTTTTTGCCGTAAAAGGACCAGCTCAACACGGCCGGGATTTTGCCCGTCTGGTCGGCCGGTCGGTAGATGTCTACGTAGAGTCGACAGCCGTCACGCACGACAATCTCGACATCATGGTCAACGCGAATTGAACTCTTCAAGGGTTTGGCATTGAATCCATTCCAGCCACTGGGGAGTACTTCGGTCTTCCCCGGCTGGAAACCGGAGAAGCCATTCTCGCCAAGCTTGGGGGCTTTGATGCGCTTGTAGGCGGATTGGACGGGAGGAGGCATGACGAACAATGAGAATGAATGGGAGTGAGTGGAATGAGTCTGCTACCAGTAGGAGTTATGCTTAATTCTTCCTTCACACCTACTCGATTATTTCAATTGACTTAAATGACAACAACATAGCTACAGATGATTCCTTCTTCCGGAGCCAAGACGTGGAGATCAAAACGTCTTCGCCTGCGATCGGATGTCGACCGACCTCCACCTCCTCCTCGGGCGACTAGCGCCCGAACGGTCGGGGGCTACTGGACTTAGCGTTGACCTCCCCCAGACTCCCCCATCATTTCGGGGGCCTCCGAGCCCCCTCGGCCAGCCTTGATGCCCCCGAAATGTCTCCGATCAGACCGGAGTAGTTTCTCAATCTTGCGGGGTGTTTACTTAAGTGAACTTTGGGTTCCCCGACAGACGGACAGTATCAGACCTCACCCAAGGGACAGAACAGAGATCAGAAAGAGAAAAAAACCGACTCCACTATCAAATTGCCTATTTCCACCATGTCAACCACGACTGTCCAAGAATTGGCTGCGGCCACCAACGAATCCTACACCATCAAGGACCTTGTCGACTTCAGCAGCCGTACATACGGCGACTGGCGCGATGAGTTTCACAAGAACGGTTGCGTCGTCATTAAGAATGTGATCAGCCCCGAGCGTGCCAAGTACTACTGCGACAAGCAGATCCAGTGGCTGAAGAACTTTGAGCTGGGATTCGACGAAAATGATGAAAGCACCTGGACGGCGGAGCATCTGCCCGTCAGCTTCAAAGGAGGGTAAGTGAACTTTTCTTTCTCTGTTTCGGCATAGAACTAACAAGCCCTAGCATGTACTTCGCCTACGGCTCCACCCATGAGAAGATGGCATGGGAGGCTCGCTCCGAGCCTGCCGTGGTGGACATCTTTGAGAAGTTATGGGAGACTAAGGAGCTTCTTTGCTCATTTGACGGGCTGAATATCTCCATGCCCCGCCGTAAGGATCTAAACTGGAGTCCTTGGCCGCACTGCGACCAGAACCCAGACCGAAAGGGGTACGCATTGATCCATCAAGCGGCAGCGGCTACCCCCACATACCACTAACAACCTGCAGAATGCAAGCCGTGCAAGGGCTGCTGAACTTCGCGCCGAACGGTCCGAAAGACGGCGGTCTCATGCTCATGAAAGGATCGGCCAAACTGTTCGACGAATTCTTCGCTCAGAAGCGCGAGCAATACGACCACGAGGATGCGCCACCCCCGGAGATCAAGTACATGGATCTTTTCCTGTTCCACGACAAAGACCTGAAATGGTTCCAAGAGAGGGGCTGCGAGCTGGTCAAGATCAACATGGAGCCCGGCGACTTTGTGCTCTGGGATTCGCGCACCATGCATTATGCTTGTCTGCCCGAGGGCGATCAAATTCGTCACGTTCAGTACATCTGCATGACGCCAAAACGGTTCGCCACGCCCAAGGCCTTGGAATTGAAGAAGTATTGCTTTGAGAATTTCATGGGCACTACCCACTGGCCGCACTGGTATGTATTTATCTTTCCTTTCCGATTTAAGGCAGTGATTAACGCAATCTAGCAATATTCGTCCTGCCAGTGAAAAGCCTATGCGGGACGGAGAGGTGTGCCCTAAGTACCGGACCGAGCCATTTGAGAAGCCGGAGAGGACTGATACCGTGCTTCGCTTGGCTGGTGTTAAGGAATACTAGAATTGATATTTGATGTAACTCCGTGTATTTATTGTTATTAGTCGATGATAGTTAGAATGGAACATTGTTTTTGAATATCTTCATTGGTCTTTGTATGGATCCAAACAATCATCTTCTGCCCAGAGCATACACCACTTAGACAACCCTGGATCATGGATCATGGGCTGCAAAGGAGGTGTGAAGAATGGAGACAGTTGCTCATCACTTGTTTCTCGGAGACACAGATTATGGAGCAACCGGATACCGAGAAACAAGTGATCAGCAGCTGGACATGGCTTTCGTCCACATTCCGACATGGCTAAGGTCCTGCTATCTACAGCATGAAAGGAAGTTGTGGAGGTGGCGCTCGGTAGCCCCCGAGTCACAAGCGCCTTTCGGAGCGGGGGATTTTGGCTTCGCGTTAGTGACCGAATTGCTTAGTGTGGATGCTGAAGGCCCAGTCCGGGGTAATATAGGGTTCTAGGCATCTTCTTATCATCGACTGCCAACACCATCGGCTAGACTACAATGCCATCTTTTGTGTATTTAACCTGCTGGGTGTGCAGCGTTCCGGACGATTCATCAGAACGCCTACCATCTTTTCATCGCAGTTTGCGATCGATTGGGCTATCAGTGTTTAATTTTTTTTTCATCATGCCGGACGACGATAAGGCCTCCGCGGGCCATGTGGAGGAGATTGAAGCGCTTGGGGAATTCAAGCAGAATCGAAAAATAATGGGCACGGTAAAATTGACAGAAGGAGCAATTGTCTACATTCCCACCCCAACGGCAGATCCCCGAGGTAAGTATCTGTGAAAAGGGCCCTTCACTAGCTAGACTGATTTGTTCTTAGATCCTTTGAATATGCCAAACTGGCAGAAGACGATTATTCTAATTGTGATATCAGTTTGTAAGCTTGAGGCCTCCCAAGTTTTGCAGACGTCAACACTGACAGCTTAGTCTCCACTCTCGGTCTCGCTCTTGTCTCTGGTTTTGGTGGCCTACTTGGCTTTTATATCCCTGGATATGAAGCGATCGGGAAGGGATATGACGAGATAACACATTTGATGACATATCCGACGCTGTTCATGTACAGTCTTCTCAACACGCAGAGAAAGCATGGCGTGCTGACCAAAATGTAGGGGAATCGGCAACCTCATCGGAATGCCTCTTGCCATCGGAATTGGGCGTCGCATTGTTCTTCTCGGCTCCACAGTGGTTCTTGTTATTGGTGCTATTCTCTGCGCAACAGCGAAGAGTTTCGAATGGCATCTTGCCTCTCGGATGGTTGTTGGGTTAGCTGCAGGACAGAGCGAGGCCTTGGTTCCTATGATTACCCAGGTAAACCGACCCGACATAGTTGAGCGGAGCACTCACTCACTTTTTTTTCTGAGCATATCTAGGAGATATTCTTTCTCCATGAACGCAGTAAAGCTCTCATGGGCCAGCAAGCTATCCAAGTTAGTCTGACCAGTGTGTGGGTGCTTTTCGCCGGGCCTATTGCCGAGGCCATAACTCCAGAATGGTGGTATGGACTTGGAGCAGCTTTGGCCGGCCTACTGCTGGTTGTTGCTTTCTTATTTCTTCCTGAGACCAAATATGACCGGTCGCTTGAATCGTATCACGGGGACACGTCCCCTAGTGACGACGCCCGAAAGAACTCTGTGGGAAGTGTGCATAAGGCAGACTCCGATGGCAACTGCACAGAGCGACCACCCCTTGACACGACCCGGTATGCACCGCGGACATTTAAATCCGACCTGCGTCTGTGGGTTGGCAAGCCTGAATGGATTAAAGTGTGGGAGGTGCTGAGAGTATGTTTTGACCTACCCAGCGCCGAAGCTCTTCGCTAACGATAAATAGCAAACCTTCGAGTTGCTTCTTTTCCCAAACGTCCTTTGGGCTCTTCTCCTGAATGGTATCACAATTGGCACGAATATTGCCATCTCAACTACCTACAGCACCATCGTGTCAAGTCCGCCGTATAACTGGCCTGATAGCAGCGCCAGCTACGTCAACTGTGGACAGATCGTGGTCGCGATCGCGGCGCTGCCTCTTCTAGGCCACGGGTCCGACTATTTAATCAAATATTTTGCTAGACGCAACGGCGGGATGCATGAGCCGGAAATTCGAATCATTCCTCTGATTATCCCCATTATAGTGGGTGTTTTTACATCCGCCATCTACGGCGTGGCAGCCGCAAATCCATACCAGTACCACTGGTTCATCTATGTCTGGACAATCGCTGCGTATTATTTCTGCTTCGTCGGAGCAAACATCGTGGCGATTACCTACTTGCTGGACAGTTACCCTGCCCGAGCAGGGCCTCTGCTGGTCATTATTTGCGCCTTCCGAGGTATCATTTCTTTTGGTACGAGTTATGGAACGGCACCATTTGTTGCACTGCATGGATATGACGGTACATTCGGTACGTTCGCCGCGTTGACGGGATTCTTGGGGGTCCTGGGTATTCCGGTCTATATTTGGGGCAAGAAGATCCGACAGTTTACGGGACGGTTCGCGAAGGATAAATCGGACTGATTATCACGCCTTGTCTGCTCATGCTTCTCTTTGGCTATTTACATCGCTCATAAGTTTCTCACATAGCAACTCATGAATCTCAATTCAGCTCTTTTCGAAAGAACGCTCTCTCATACCCATCCTCCTCCCGCCGATCTGTCTCAACGAACCCGAGCTTCGGATAAAGCGCCAGATTCTCATACATCTTGATATTGGTGAACAATGTAACCGCCTCATAGCCTCTTTCTCTTGCCAAATCCTCAGCGAAGTTCATCAGTAGCCTCCCATAACCCTTGCTCTGTATCTCGGGGTCAACGACCAGATTGTTAATGTTGATTGAGTTGGTGTTGCTGTCCCTGTGAAGAACGACTGAACCAATTATTGCATGATCTTCGAGGCGCTCCAGGACGTATATCTCTCGTGTTTTCAAGAGCTCGTAATAATCTGCGGCCATAGGAGCAGGGAGCTTGCCCATTCGAGGGATGTATTTCGAGTACGCGGCAGTGACCATGGATCGGATGGTTGGAACATGATCCGGGGTGGCCTTGATAACGGAAAGGCCTTCTTCGGAGGACATTGTGCAAAGTCTTCTAGATCTTGATTTTTTTTTTTTTTCCTTTCTCTGGATTGTCTTGTGGAAAATGCAGCTTTTGTGAGACAGCGACAGAGAGCGGCACTGTCTTTAAGCAATGAGTCACAGGTGGACGGATCAATGGTCACTATGTTCCACATTGGTAAGCGTTGAATTCATCGCGCCGAAGTAGCGGCGGACCCTTGCTAGTGTCCAGCTTATTTGCTTTCCTCTTCTAGTATACTGAGGGAGCGTATTATCTCAGCCCTTGTGGCATAGTTAGTTAGTGAATTCAGCTGATGTCATCTGTAAAGGTTATGCATACATTGTTGTTCTGCCTCAGGTGTCAAGGTGTCAAGGTGTCGAAATACGTATGACCGGTCGCCTCGGCCTTCTCTCGTCTCCGTGTCGTCAGTGGTCACCCTCAACTCCAACCCCGAGTCACAGACCATTGGTGAATCGGAATCGGAATCAAAACGAGCGGGATTTGATCTCTCCCAGCAACCAAGATCTTGCCTCGGAGGCTTCTTCCAGTTCGGCCTTATGACGTGATTCCGCCGGCAATTGTTATTCCCAAGTCGTTGTTTGCCTGGTCAGGCAAGAGGTTATTCGACACGCAAAGTCTGGTTTTCGCTCTCCATTGGGTACCACTAGTGAAAATGACGACCCTGGAGATAGGAACAATTCCCGAAAGCCCTTGTCGACGATTAAATCTTGCTAAGACTTGATTCACGACCTAAAAAATTCTATTTCCATTGTCCGTGGAGACCTCTCGGGCTTAGCTTTTGCTCGCAGCCGCAAGTTCAAAAATTTTTAAGATGTGCAATTATATTTAATGTCCTTGCTACGCTGCATTTCCTACGGCCCTTTAGCTGCAGTATACATCTTTACGTCTTCAGATAAGAAGAGGCATTGTCTCATTTCCGATTACCAGACATGCAGCGATCATCATGGGTGAAATCAGCCCTGCTCAACTTGATGGGATCCCGGCCTATGGACTCCCCAAGCCTGCAAGTCCTGCGCGCGATATTGAAGGTGAAGTCGAAGGTCAATGGATTGATCTGATGCGTATTTTACGAGGCCTAAAAACTGTCACCACGCCGGATCTTGACGAACCCATCATCAAAAAGTCCACCGAGCAAGATATCGCCGATGTTCGACACCTCAGCACCCCAGACATTCCCCGACCGATATCCAATGTCATTCAGGAAGCATATTCTATCTTCAACCATCGTTCGCGGACCAATCATAAGGGCTTCTTCTCCTTCACGCCGGCAAATGTCACGCCACTTACTTGGCTTGGAGATGTCCTTGTTTCCGCGTTCAATGCTCACTGCAGCGGCTCGCTTACGGCGGCGGGCCCTTGCGCCGTTGAAACTGAATTGGTCAAATGGTTTGCATCGAGAATCCATTTTCCATCCACAGCAGGCGGACTCTTCGTCTCCGGCGGATCAATAGCAAACATGATGGCTATGACAGCAGCTCGGGACCAGAAGCTAGAATGGCAGAATTACCCCAAGGGTGTGATCTACATCGCGCGTCAAGCACACTACTCACACTTCAAAGCCGCCCGAATCTTGGGATTCCATGCCCAGCAAATCCGTACTGTGGACTCGGACACTTTCGGTCGTCTAAACACCAATCACCTCGAACAGCTCATCCAAGCTGACAAGCAAAACGGCCTCATTGCCTTCCTTATTATGGCTACATTCGGATACACGGAGACCGGGCTGATCGATCCCCTCGCAACCATCTCTGAGATAGCCCAAAGAGAGGGTCTATGGCTTCACGTCGATGGAGCCTACGGCGCTTCGCTCTCCCTCTCGCTCACCCGGTCGGGTCTCGCTAGGCAGCTCAGCACCGCAGACAGCGTATCGTGGGACGCGCATAAACTTCTTTTCCAAACCTATGGGTGTGGGATGCTCCTCGTCCGAGACAAATCGCACCTCGTGTCCAGCTTCCACGCCCAGTCCTCATTCATGGATCATACGTCTCGCGTCAAGGAAGACGAGCCCGAGCTCTGGGATATGGGAGTCGAATTAACGCGGCCGTCACGGGCCATGAGTTTGTGGTTCGCATTGCGTGTTCTAGGAACCGAGAGAATTGGCCAATTGATCGACCATGGAATGGATCTTGTGGAGTTGATTCAGCTAAAGCTGGAGACAATGCGCGAGTGGGAAGTCATCACGCCCGCTTCGTTAGGGATCATCACGTTCAGATATCATCCGGAACTGAGGAAGAGGCAGGAGAAGACGCTGGAGAAGCTGAATGAGGATATCTCCAGGATTCTGCTGGACACGAACACGGCGGCTGTTATGACGGTTAAGGTGAATGATGTTTTGGCATTGCGCATTTGTTGCACGAATGTACGGTTGACGGAAGAGGATGTGCTAGAGCTGGTGAAGAGTATGGATGAAGTTGCGAGGAGACTGAATATGTGCATGAATTAGTTGCGTTGTCCGGATATTGATACCCCCGGTGCTCGGCTTTGAATAAGACGAGTTGATATTGATCTTCATGCGCCCTTGGGCTTATTTTCTTAGTATAACTTCGGGTGGCTGATCATTACAGCCTAAATCTAGCCCACGGTAGGCCAATCTGTTTTAATGTGAACAACTGATTCATTCATTTGATTCAAATGATGCTCTATGCTCTAGGGTCTTCACCCGAGAACCTGCCACAAGCTTACAACCTCTGACAATAAGTCCGATTAATCAACCACGCCCTCAGGCAGAAACACCACATAATCCAACGGCGCCGGCTCAACGCCATCCGCTTGACCGACAATCTTCAACACATCCCCCTTTTTGACCTTAACATCCCGGAACGTGATCCGTATCGCCGAGTGACCATCCAGGTAGATTGACGGCGTATGTCCAAGGATATCCTCGGCGTCGCCTTTCCATTTGCCGATAACGCGCTTGTTCAGATACACGGTCCATTCAGACTGTCCACCATACAAATCATAATAATTGATACCCAGATCGTACGTGCCAGATGAGAATTTTAGTTTCGTTGTCGCAGTTCCTGTGGTGGAATTGGTCGCTGTGACAATGGCTGTCGCATTTGAGGCGGTTTCGTACGGATGCACCGTGTATTTTTTGTATCCATTAAGAGTCATATCTTCGGCTTCCACACGCCATGGGTGATGGCTCACTCGGCCCTCTTTGTCCTCGATGCCTGACAGGTTATAGTAGAAGTTATTGATTGCGTCGCGCCAGACGATCGAATGGCCTGCCTGGTAGATTAGCCGATGACGCATCTCCTCGTATCGTTGCTTGTCGATGCGCCCCTTCAGCGCTTCCCATTTGGGAACAAAAGTCTGAGCGGTCTCGGCGCCAGTGTAGTGTGCATCGTAGAAATGCTGGATCACGGTTTTTCCAGAGTGCAAACGATGAGTGTAGGGTACATGGTGGAACCATAGGAGCAGATCGTCCGGTGTCGTTTCGATCTCCTCGTACATTTCCGCGATTTCCTTTGGATATTGGCCCGCGTTTCGCGTTCCATTCTTCACAGTACGGTCCATACCAATGGAGTAGCTGTTAGCACGTGTCCACTGTCCCCAGCCATTGCCATCTTGCGAGCCGGGATTGGGTCCATAGTGGGTGTAGAGAATGTCGGTGAGGGTCTGGACGCCCAGGTTTCCACTATAGTTCTCATATGCAGGCCATGAAGCCATTGACATTTCAGTGATGGTGTCTAGAACACGGCGATCCTGCCCAAAGGTCAAACGCGTCCAGTCTTCTAGGATTTGGACGGAATCGTCTGTAGGGCTCCATGCTAAACGACCGTAGGCGTACAGATTTGACATAGACAGATGGCTTCCTAGCCAGGTGTTGTTCGTGCCGACATTCACCACAGCCGCCCATCCTCCGAGCGGCCGCTTGAAGTGCTGTCCAGACACGATGTCTCGGACGGGAGATGGCTTCTGGTCGACGCGTAAGTCAAAGTCCAATATTTCTTTCCACAGCGGAGCCAGATAGACAAGGTGACATTGTTGGCCGAGATACTCCTGCGTGACCTGCAGCTCGATAGCCATATTGGTGTGGTACATGTTGCCGAACAGCGGAGACACGGGCTCGCGCACTTGGAAGTCAATGGGTCCATATTTAATCTGGAGCACGACATTGTCTTCAAACTTCCCGTCAAGCCCTTTAAAGAACTCGATTTGCGCATTAGCTCTATCATTGGTCCAACTATCCTCCATCAAGTGGTGATCATAGACGAAGGCACGGAACATGAGTATGCCGCCATACGGCTGCAAGGCCCGCGCGAAGAGGTTGGCCCCGTCCGCTAAGGTTCGATTGTATGTATCTGGGCCGGGCTGACCCTCGGAGCTTGCCTTCACTACGTATCCGGCCAGGTCAGGGACATGCCCATACAGGCTATCAGTGATCTCCTGCCACCAGGTGATGACCTTCGGATCCAGGGGATCATATGTCCCCAGACCACCCAGCGTATCCGGCGAGGCGAAATTGAGCGAAACTCCGATTTGAATGCCGTACGGTCGGAAGACATCGGCGATGCGCGTCAGCCCTTTCATGTTAGCTGGCGTGAGGAGTGTGGCATTAGCGTTCACGTTGTTCACGACAATAGCATTGATTCGGATCGACGCCAGAAGCCGAGCGTATTGTTTGACGCGGTCCATATTTTCGACTATTCGGCCTTCCGCAAAGAAGATAGACGGGCCAGCGTAGCCCCGTTCTATACTACCGTCCATATTGTCCCACTGGTTCACCCATCGGATCGGAGCATGAGGACTAGTTGAGTAATCCACGTCGGAAAAGTTTCCTTGGCCAAGCAGCGAGATGTATTCGAAAGCTCCGTACAATGCACCGCGTGCGTTCTGGCCAATAATCTGAACGCTATCGCCCTGCGCTCTCAACCAGAAACCATCCTCCTCCAATGTCGGAACATCGGAGGCTTTGTTGCATGATTTCCGGTATTCCTCAAGCGTAGCCACCACAAGAGAAGAGCGAGAATCACATTTGGAGCGCGCAATTGTGACCTCTTTTCCAACGATATCATGCAGTCCCTTCTTCAATTCCTGGGCTGCAGTGAAAACCGGGGTGGATTGGTTGTTGGTGAACGTCACGACGCGAGATGGCAGTCTGCGTTGACATTTTTTGTCGCACCGAACGGGAGCATACCGCAGCCATCCATCGAGACCATTCTCTGCGGCTACTATCGTAAGAAGCAGAAGCCAAACGAGACGCAAAATCAACGGACGCATTGTGAAGAGCCTGGCAACCTACCTTTCTAGTCCCGCATTTCCACAATTCAATGGCAGGTTTTATAGTTTCTGAGCAGGACACCCCACGCTCTCGCCGTGGCATGACGTTACGGACCGGCAGTCCATGCTAAATTTGCATTCAGCCTATTCTCGACATTAAGATCTGGAAAACGCGGGGTGGCAGCCGATCTAAGATTGTCCGCTTCCTACCCTGTCCATTTTGAAGTTGAATAACAGGTCTCAGGTCCAACTAATGGCAGGCTGGAGCACACAAGCAGCCAGGAGGTGCCAACTCCGTTCATCCTCACATCTGTAGTCGATCGTGACGAGGTACGAAGACCATTCCGATCGACAACCTGATGCCGAGACCAAGCGATTTAGCCGGATTGATTGCGGGGATCAAACATTTGATGCGGGGATAATTTCGCACTGAAAATGCGCCAATCATATGTGCAGTGGTCGGCTATTGACACTGTAAATGATACTCAGGTACGCCGTCCAATCCTGCACTCTTCCACTCTTCAGGGGCAGGAGGGAAGAGAAAGAAGAAGAGGAAGAGGAAGAGGAGGAAGAAAACACGACTTAGCCAGATTGGGCAGGTGGTAACATGCGATCCGCTAACCCTAATACGGTAAGGCCTCTCAGGACATTGCACTATTCCCAATCAGGCCGCCGCGCTCATCGGCGTTTGAGTTACTTCGGCCAAGTCGCCCGTCCGTCATCATCTCGCTCAATCTTCCCAGACATTCCAAGACTCTAGGATAAATGGCTGAAAGGACTCCGTCTCGGAACTCCTTTCGCCCCCGCGCTGTACGTATCTCTTCCCCCATGTCCCTGACTCCGGTGATTTAACCTATGCTAGTGTGACAACTGCCGCGTTCGAAAGGTATGCTGACCACTCGATATACACCGATTGAACGAGATGCTCACAGGCTCGTAGATAAAATGCGACAAGGCCACTCCCTGCTCCAGCTGTGGTGCGTTGGATATTCCCTGTAAAACCGCCGGGGTTGCCACGGGTGTCTCTGAGCCCCAACGCGCTGCGCCCAGCCAGTAGTAAGCTCACGCTGCAAATGCCGCTAGGATCGTTTACTAAAGCGTGGTGACAGCGAGAACAAGATTGATGCAATCCAAGAGCAGCTCCTTGTGATTCAGCAGGCTCTTAGGGATGTCAATCAATCCGCGTCCCCTGCCCCAACTCACCCGGTGCCTCGCCCTGTACCATCCGCCGATCCTGTCCCTCCATTCGAAGGCCAGTCCTCCTTTCATCATGAATCTATTCTTGCAAAAGATGCTGCATTTTCTGCCGTGGCTGGTGCGCAGGGGAGGAGGCTTGATGATCACGTCTCAGCTGCTCTCTCTTCCTTGACTCACAGCCTCGATCGAAATACAGCCGTCTCGCAAGACGATGCAGCGCGAGACAAGACGTCGGCATCTCCGCTATCTAAAGAGGAACTGCTTCCAGTTGACCTTGCGGTATCGGTAGTCAAGGCTGTGAAAGGTATGTATACCTGTTTTTTCTGTCTTAGCCTCGCTGACACATGCAGCTCAACCCCCTTTTTTCTTGGTCAGCCACTCCTGGAGAGATCTACTTCAAATCGAGATGCTGTGTCAATCACTCTACTTTCCTCTTCAGCCCGTTCCTGCAGGCTCAGTGACTCTTTTTCATGGACTCTTCTTTTATATCATTCGTGATTATCTACACCAAGGACATCCAGATCTAACTCACTACAACCTTGCCGCGAGTGTCGAATTTTGCGAGCGTCACTTCTTCGATGGCCTCAACAGTTATGAAATGATGACGGCACCTACCTTGGAAAAGGTGCAAGCCTTACTGATAGGGGTATAGTCTTTGCAACTATAATGAAAGCTCGTACTAATCGTTGCAGATCATCAAAGCGCAAGAAGAATTTGACATTCAACGTTGTTGGACCTACCTATCACTTGCCTTCAACATGTGCCAGACCTTGGGTTTCCACAGGAGTTCGACGTTGAAAGACGACGAGTCTCCCGCTGCAGAAGCAAAACGACATGTCTTCTGGTCTTTATATACGATCGACAAGAACATTTCACTAAACATTGGCTTCAGTTCACATTTCCAAGACCACGATATCGACGCCGATCTTTTTAAGCCATCGAATAAACCCAGTCAGCGCCCGTGGGACTTGATGGCCATTGTAACCGTGGAGTTTGCCGCCATCCAAGGACGCGTCTTTGATCAACTATACTCGGTGGGAGCAATGAACGAAACAGATGACAAACGAGCACGCGCTGTACAGCAGTTGTCACTCGATTTGATTGCCGTTCGCGACAGGCTTGTTGCAGTACGTCCCTTTTTTCTACACCTCGCGGTATCGCGTACTCACCACCACTATCAGATCGATGTTAGTTCCGGTTTATATGCCGATTCCTTACACGGAATGGCAGCCTGTGCCGACTTCATCGCCTACTCAGTAATGACAGTGATCTACCGGGCCCAGTCACGGCCCACCGACGCCATGGCTGTATCGTCCCAATGCTACGAAGCCGCCCGACTAGCTCTGGACAGTCACCTGAAATGTTTCGGCTTTTTCCGTGACCGTCAGACACACAAACAAATGGAATACGTCAATTGGTTTGTCGCTTAGCTTCAATTTTTCCGGTCATTGATAATTGACTGCTTGCTAGGATCCTACTTTACCCTTCCTTCGCCCCATTCGTCATTGTCTTCACTCACGCCATCGCCACCTCCAGCTCAACCGATCTCTCTTTGCTACAAGACACTGTCAAATCCCTAGACCTGATCAAAGGCCTCTCTCGTGGCTCGATGCACCTGTTCGCTATCTGCGAGGCGTTCGCAAAGACCGCACAAGTTCTCGTCGACGCGCGCCAGACTGTGACGGGTCTCGAACATCATCAAGACGGGTCCCTCTTTATCCCAGCTACCACCGACGGCCCTGGGAACATCGCGTTACCCGATTTCCCATGGCCTGAGAACACGTTCGACTCATCTATGAACCAGGAAGATATTTCTCTATTCTTGAACGATTTTATCGGTACAGGGCGATCCGTGATGGAAATGCTAAACTCGAATTCCTTGAATGATTCTTTTCGGTGATACAGGTGTATGTGGCTAGGGATTTCTGCTACCGATCCTACACTGTTGAAAATAGCTTTCACCTAAATCGCCGGTCGACTAACTCAAATGACATACTATATTGATCGTCAGTTGAGCACACTTTCCAAAATATACAACAAGAATAACCTACCGGGATGAAAAGATAAGGCACGCGACGCTCATACTCCAGCCAAGCCTCTCCGTATCTCTCGCGACATCGCTGAATGTCACGCGTAGCGCGGTGGATAATCATCACCGTAAAGAAAACGGGATAGAACCATGGGAAGGGGGAATTAAAACCAGTGATGAGACCCCACGACATCGCGAAGAACCAGTCACACGTGTAGTGCACCTTACGAGCCATGCCGTCTAGGAAACAAGTTAGTCCATACCAATAAACATGTCAAAGGGGAAATCCACATACACCATCCGCTGCACAAGATCGAATCACCCGTCTCAGTCCGGATGATTTCAGGATTCTTGACGAATTTCCATGGCAGCTGCGGGAACGTCTTTCGGTCCACCGAAACGCCGCGCTCCTGGGCCCGGAAATAGTTCTTCTGGCTGTTGCACGTGTCCCAGACCCAGTACAGGAAAAGGTACATCACAACCAGAGCGCCCAGCGCAACCGGCGACCATTGATAGGTTGAGGGGTGATGAGATGCCAGGTACAAGGTGCAATGGCAATAACTCATCGGCACGCCAGCCAAGTTCCAGAAGATCAACATGAATCCCCACTTTTCGTAGAACATATCCCTATTCGAGATCCGTCAGTACAGAAGTCAAAAAGCCCTTTGCAGGAAAACACATACCAGCTGGTGATGATCAACTCCTCGCCCTTAGCGCACGCATTGGCGTACAAGAAATGCGCCATAAGCAAAAACCCAACCTCCCCGGACACGTACCCCAGTTCCTCCCACTGCTTAAGAGCTGTGCCCAGCGACAGCAAGAAGAGGATATACCAAGGGATGCGAACCTCGAAGAACATCTTCATATCAAGCCACCGGAAGAGCCTCGGGTTCAGCTCCGCGCCCATAAAGAAATCATACACATGAGAGCCCGTCATGCGGTGGTCCGCACCTCTCGCCAACGCGGAGATATACGCCACAAAAGAGACGATAAATCCGGAACAAATAGCCACGGACATGATCGGACCGAACTCATCGATCAGAGTGTCCAGCCTAAAGAGTCCGCTGAAATGCAGACCCAACGCGGCCAGGATCGTGACGTACCAAGACGACACAGCGGAGCAGTAGTAGTCCAGTTGTTGGCCGTTCAGATGCGGGAGGCGCTTGCCCTTCCCGTAGACACCAGGGAGACACACGTATCCGATACCTTCGAGGATGAGGAACGTCCAGTAGATGATCCATGCTTTGCGATGAGGGAAGGCGTGCGTGTAGGCGAGGTCAAAGAGATGGGTCAGGAAGTCTGGAATTGTTTCTCCCTGCTGCGGCATCGGAGCTTTGCCATCGTAGAATGTCGTCCCGATGTACATGTAGTACATGAGCAAGGGGAATCCGACCATGAGGGCGCTCACACCTAGGGCGCCTCCGAATTCAAACTCGGGCTCATGTTCGGTTTTCGGAGACGCGTTATCGGACACTCCGTTGGGTTTGGAAGAACGATTACGAGGCATCGTTTCACTATAGCAGTCATCGCATTTGTTAGTTTTATCGCAACGATTCGACGATCCTGGGGGGCATGAAGAGAAATCTTGGATCGCACCTTTTCGTCGCCGAGCTCTGACCCGACATGTTGGCGGTACCACACAAATATGCTCAAGCAACCAATATTTCGAGTATACAGATTCGTCGATAAAAAAGCACACATGGCACTTTAATAGATGGTGATGGATCTTTCCATCGCGGTCATCGCCGCGGCCTCCGCGGTCTCCGCGGCGAGAGTGGGTCCGTTGGGCCCCCAGCCCACATGCATACATTGGAAAATCAAGATCGAAGTAAGGGGTTCCAAGGGGTAAATGCTTGTTCGCTTCTCCGAGGAGATCGTCTCCTCTAGTGACTTCATGCAGCCTCCTAGGAAATTGTCTCGCTTATCTCGTAGGTATCCGTGGGTTAAACTTGTTGAGATACGGGAGTTAAGGTACCCGAAGGGAGTTCGGCTACGTATCGCTCATGGCTGCCATGGAGTACTGCAATTTTCTATGCATCCATGGCCTATTCAACCAATTGCACCAACTTCCATAATTTTGCGATGAGAGGAATTGATTAATAGCTAGTAGAATCAATATTGAGACTTTTTTTTGGCAGAAGTTAACGTGTTTATATATGCCTCTTCAATTAATCCCCGTTCCCATCACAATGGAAGACTGAAAGTGCAGCGAGGTGAGTTGAACAAAAGATATATATTCTCGAATGACGTGGATTATATGAATGCAGAACATCGCTGTGACACCACCTCGTCCTACGATCCAATTAAAGCATTGGCATTATGCAATATGACGCTTTGTAATGCAATGAACAGAACGAATTTTTTCCTGGGGAAAGGGAAAGGAATCAGGGATGCCCCCTTGCATGACAAGGACTACCTTGCCGACAAGCCGCGGCAGCTCGGCAAATAAGACTACTAGTCAGGGCGAAAGGGGTCAATATAGGTCGTCCAGTTTTTTCCGACAGTCAATGTAAAATCCATATCTTCTAAGCTGCTGCTTAATCTAGCGCAAATTGTATACGTCCAGAAAATACTACGAAGAAAAAGGTGATAGCTTGGGGGCCGGCGAAGAAGGGCGGGAACATCCTCATCTCCAACCGCGCTAATGCAACCAAGACAAGTATAATTCGGCCACTAAAGATTTGTGATGAAATATCCCAATAGGCTAGCCGTAATAGTAGCTATAGATTATGACAGCGAGCAAATCACCACTACAAGATCATCCAAGCGCAGTGGATCCCACGAAAGCGGGGAGATGATTAGATAGCATGGTGGACTGGAAGATTCCGCACGACATACAAAAAGGATGAGGGGCTGAAGCCTGCCACTTTGAATATTTAATCGCTTCCAATATCAAGGGGAGGTTTTTTTTTTTTTTTTTTTTTTTTTTTTTTTTTTTTTTTTTTTTGGTGTGGTTGGGTAAAAACAAACACAAAAAAACCACAAAGGCAAGAACTGTTTTTTAAAAAAACACCACCGGAGAAGAAAACCCACAG